ATAGAAGATTAGCTACAATTTCAGTTCTTGCTGGTTATCGACGCTCTTGATAAATATAACTAGAAATACAGAGAAGCATTAGCAAAAATAATTAAACTTTCTACATGTATTTCTAGGAAATTTAAAACTGATTGCAGCTTCATAAGTATATAGAAACAAAGTATACATTTATCCAGTATGATTTACAAATAGTACATATGATCCGAATAGAAAGGGACTTTCACCCATTTGTTTACTAGATGAAAATGCAATTGACCTAAAATCGATTTTTTTTATCAAATATAATATGTAAACAAAGGTGTAGCAAATAGGAAGCGTTTCAAGCGATTTTAGTGTTAGCAGCGGAAGAAGTTTGATTCCGCCTGACTGTTTATCGTTATTTAAACATTTGTTCAACATAGTCATTGTTCTACAGCACTGGCTCTCACTTTAAATTAACTCCTTAACTGCGATGACGAAGATTTGACGGCCAAAATCTTCGTCATCACTTGTTTTCCGTTGGTCAGGATAGGACACCACGGACCCTCGACTTAGGACGAGACTTTTCCAATCCCTAGGAACTATGCAGGTTCCTGCCTGACTTGTTATGCCGCAACTCAAACGTCGAGTTTTAAAAAAAATTTGATCACTTTGGATCAGTTTGTTCTCTAATGTCTCGCTCTAAGCGATGTGAACTTTTAACCACTGCCACCACGAGTCTGACGCCAGATGAGTGGAATAGAGACAAGTTTTTGCCGGAGCAAATGAAGTCTCAGTGGGCACGCGATTACCGTGGTAGCATTAGACTCGGGTGCGAGTATCAGTTTGAGGATTCTATCCAAACCCTGAGCCTGACCGCCTCTTTCTCCTTATTAGTAGACTCTTACGATACGCAGAGGGACCTAGACTGGAAGAATGTCAACATGACTATTAAGGACGGATTTAAGACTTTTCAGGAGTTTGTCAGTGAGGCGAAGACAAAGCATACCCTAGCTGATAATGGAGATAGCAACCTTGGTGGCATTATAGGCTATACGGAGGTGAACCAAGAAGAGCGAAACAGGAAAAGAGAGCGTATCCATGAGAAGCGGCTTTAGCAAGCAGTGATAGAGGCGCAGAAACGATGAAAAATCTCTGGCAGTCCAGACTGACGCCTAGGCGAAGAAGAAGCAAGAAGAGGACGACAAAAAGATTGCGAAGGTGACGGTTACACCGAATCCTAAGCAAACCAGTAAGAAGGGAGTGGATCGACAATGGTAATCCGAGTCGCAACAGGAACAACGTATGCCGAAGTACTGAGCAAACTTCGGAGGGAAGTAAATCCAGACATCAACCACACGCAGGTCGTGGATGCAAGGCTACAAGAAAGGGAGATCTCCTGATCAAAATCGAATGAGACTCCAATAAGGAGGCATTCACTGCTCAGGTCACCAAAGCGGTTGGAAGCATGGGGAAGTTGCAGATCGTGGATCGACAGGTTACATTGGAGATCCGCGACCTGGATTGCTTTACCCATGAAGAAAATGTCCAACAGGCGTTGGCGGAAGTGCTCCAGAAGACAGGAAGGAGAAAGGTGACGGACCTAGGATCCAACCGACGAGGAATGAAGCTCGCAGTTGTAGTCATCAATCCAAAAGAGGCGGACAAGCTGGAAAAATTAGGACGCATAAGGATTAGCATTATGTGTTGTCCAATAAAAAGAAGGGTGATTCGGTGACGCCTGGCGTACGTCCACATAGGAAGAGTTTGTAAGGCAGCGGACAGATCGACTGGGTGCTTCAATTGCGATGAATTTAATCATAAGTTTGCAAACTGCAGTAGAAGCCCAACCTGCTTCTTATCTAGAGAAAAGTATCGCGTAAGGCGAAAATTAGTCATATCGCAGGCAGCGGAGGATGTGGCGTTTTTAGGACGGACCTTGAGGACTCCCAGAAGACTCTCACACGAACAAAGAATAAATAGACCAGAAAGTTTGGCAATGGATAAGAATCACAATAGCCTTGCGAAAGCTAGATCCCAGGGACCTTTACCTACGAAGTTTAAAGCTTGACAACAGTTCCGTATTATAAAAATTAGTCCAACCAAAAGGTATGGTTTTTAGTTGCATACATATTATATTATGCACCCACTTTGCGACACCTTTGTTTACAATTACATGTTATACACTGGAGTCTCCCAAGAGAGGACTTCTGAAGAGAGGACTAAGTAGTGACGCGGCGCGGTAAGGAGTGAGGGGGGAAGAGATGGGCGGGATCAGAAAGAGGAACGTGAACTCAGGAGCGTTTGTTTTTAGTGTACCTTTCTCGCGTAGTGTTTTACATACGGAACAGAATGTATTCTGTTATAAAAAACACATCTCTGTGATACGATATACGGCCCTGGAGTGTTTACAATTTTCGGCGTCAAGGACGAATTCCGTAGAGAGGTCCAAGACTCTTTCTGTCCTCTCTTCGGAGACTCTAGTGTATTTGATTAAAAAAAATCATTTTCATCTTTTTCTATTTGAAGACAGAAAAAGATCTCTTTCTATTTGAATCTTAGACTAAAATAAAATATATCTCTATTTTTCTTAGTATTTGTAAAGTAAAGAAATTACTACATTTGAGATAATTTCTCTAACATTCTAAGAAATACATTAGAATATTTTCGCTTTTTCTTTAAAATCTCCAGTTTATATAGTGTCTATTTAAACTGATCTTATATATGCCTACAAGTTAATAAAGATTTGAAAGATACTTTGTTTTGTAAAGCATATTTTTTCATTTTAGAGTAAAGTTTTTTCAGTCAATAACTCTTATTATTAATATGCATTAAAATTTGATCATTAAAAATACTTGATATTGTGCATATTGTTTTGCATTTAACAATAAAGAGAACAAGTGTTGAGCATTTTTTGTATATATATTATATATAGCTCAGTTCAATCACAGACAATAGAGAACAAAAAGTGTGCTCTAGAAAAACATTTATAATTACAAAAACTTAAGTTGCAATATGTAACTATTTTAAAATTATAACTAATTTGTTCAACTGAATCCGTTTAATTAAAAAATACGAAAGTAGAATATTTTGGTTTTGCCAATAATAATATTAATATGATATATTATTAATATTATTATTATTTCTGATTTTTGTTTTTCTAGAACAAACTTGAAAAATTCTTTGAATATTAGATACATGGAATATTTTATCGATTATGAGATATGTATGTATTACACTCATGAAAAAAAAGTATTAAAAAAAATATATAATATACAATGTTTTCGATTTTGGAAGACAAGAAGATGAAATAGAAAAAAGCAGTATAACTTTTTTTTACGACAAAAAGAATTTTCACACATTTTTTAACAGTCACATACACATAATGTAAACATTAGTTTTAGATATTTTAAAAAGAAAATTAAATACAACTAATAACTTTTTAACAATAATATTTTTTAGACATTTTAAAGTCTGATGTAATACATACAATAATGTATATATCAATTTAAAAATATGTGACGTTTACAAATTTACATAAAAATTATATAAAGTAGTACAGCAAACACAGTACGACGACACAATTCTGATTTTAGCAAAATACCTACAGTCGGTATGGTAGATTTCTACCTTATCGTAAATGATGTATGTTTAGTAGGTAATGCAGATTGCTACGTACATACAGTCGGTAATATAAATTTCTATACTACAAGCATTCGTAAAGGTAAAAATCTACTACGATTTCGCTGTCGGTCGGTAAAACAGTTTCCTAGCTTATTGATTGTGTTGGAATTTATATTTGCTATCTGTCGATAAAATATAAATCTGTATTGCCATCTGTCGATAATGTAGAAATCTGCATTACCACCAAACAATTACCGACTTCCATTAAGACAGAAATCTGCAATACCGATTGTAGGTACCTAATCGAAATCAGAATCGTATCACTGGACCCATGTTTGCTATACTACTACACAAAATGAAATAACTGATTTTTAAAGTATCTTATACTTAATAAAATCGATAAAATAGGACATCAAATATTTACAAATACTTATTTTATCGTATTTTCTAATCATTCACACACAGCACCTGAAGAATTTCATAAGCTTGTATTGCAAATTTTTTTTAATTCAATAAGCTTATAAAAATCTTCCGGAAAAGTGCAATGTGTCACTATAGACATGTGGGGGGGATAAAAACAATGTATGATATGAAATTATCATTTGACAGTATTATGTAAAATTGAGGTAATACGTGTATATACATATATATATATATAAATACAACATATTTTTCTTTTTTAACATCACATTTTCTCCTCGAGAAAATTTCATTGAATGATCATGTGCTTTAGTTATAAGTAAATTTTATCTTATAATTAATCCTCTATGTAAAGAGAGTCTCTTTTTTTAAATATTCTTAATAATAACGGCATTCAAATTCTGACGATAAAATTACGCGCGTTTTGTAGATATATATTGAATAAATTTGTTCTCCCAAGAATGATTATACTTTTCTTAAAAACAATATAACTTTACAAGAACTACTAATCCATTTTTGAATAATATTAAAAAAAAAGGTTATAAAAAAATTTTTTTTTTAATCAGAAATGGGATTGAATTTAGAAAATATGTTTTTCTGTTTGATTTAAAACTAAATTTATTGAGGATATTCTGCAATTGTTGTCGGAATTAGTCCATTAAATCTCCAATAAGCAGTAATAAAAAGTATAATGCGGACTGATTTTGAATGTATAGGGAAATAATTCCAGAATAATTTTAGCTATTTTTTTTTGGTATTAATTATTTGATATAATTGTGTATTAATTTTGGATTCTTTACTTATAAATTGCAGTCTCAATTTTGATATGCCTTTTTACTTGGTCTAATGCGTATTCATTTTTAATTCATTTTATGTACTAGAAATGATTTATGGATTCCTATTGCTTTTAAAAGTGTATGATTAGATGATTTACGTTATCGACTTGTGTTCCTTAAAGGCGTACACCACTGTAGAATTTTCTAAAAATCAAAAAATGCTTGCTTAAAAAATTCTTTGAACCTTCTAGAATAAGGGACAGAAGGTTTTTATATCGATCGGACAAGTTTTCCCTTGAAATTTCCCATTCCTTCCCAAACCGTTCCAGCTAATCCAAACCGACTATTTATAAGTTGTTACCTGCTCGTCGGGTCCACATAATACCTTTGAATTCAACTTCGAACTTTTCTAATTCATTAAAAGATCTCATTAGAAGCTCAACTATATGGTTCTGGAATAGCAGACTAATGGCAAAAAAATTTCAGTACCTAAATTTATTATTTTTTCATGCATTAAATACATGTCAGAAACTTTAAACGCGTTTTTCTCGAAACACGATTTTTCAAATCTGCACGCAGTATAACTCAATTCAAAAATGAAAATTTTCATAACGCCTTTTCAACAGGCAAGGGGTTAACCACTTTATTTTAACCATGTTATAACCCTTGGAAACATTGTAAACAATTTTTACCGCAATTTGAATTTGTGTTATAGCTAGTGACTTTGCGCTACGCTCCGAAGCGATTACACCCTAGCGATTTGTAACAAAAGCTTGACCAATTCGCTAACTCGTAGCGCCGATTGACTTTGTTTTTTATCTTACACGCCACTAATTAATTTTTTTAACAAAATTCAAATGGGAGTTGATCTTGATTATCATATACAATAAGTCTGTAAAAAAAAATTAATTTTTTAGTGCTAATTAATGCAATGCGCTACTTAGCGCCGTTGCTAAAAGGAATCCCATAGCTGATTAACTTTTGCAACCTGTGTGCTGCGTGCAGTGGAGCCCCTCCAATAAAAACCATTTTCGAAGAATGGCCGTTACGTAGCATCCTCTTAATTGATGTATATTGTTTTATTATTAAATATAAAAATTTAGTTATTCAATTGTTTTTCTTGTGTTGTGCATCTCATCCTATGAAAGACTAACTAATTATTTTATTTATCTACTAGCTATCCAACAATCTGCAAACATGGTAAGTATGATCACCTCTTTAATTTCATCTACCTCGTCTCGATTCGCAACTGCTCATCTGATTACGTCGCAGGTTGGATCACTTCTATTCATAGATCGTGGAGATCTCGTTCAATTGCATTGTGTCGGCTATCGCGAGCCGGACCCAAACTTTCAATTAATTAAAATTATTTAAAGTCTCGCGAAGTTCGCTACACTTCCTATTTCTCCTCCCACGAAAAAATAGCCAAAAAGAACGTTAAATTTTAACCTTCTACAGTGGTGTAACCCCTTAAGTTCTTTACAGTTGTAAATTTTACCTTTTCACTGTTTTAGAGATAAATTGAAAGTTTTCCAAATTGAAAATGTTTTATTTATAGAACATTCTAAAAACTTCAGGAAATATATTCTTCAAACTTAATAGAACGTCCCAATTCGAAAATCATACGCTCCGTTAAGTTGTACAAAAATTTGTGTTACCAAAACAAATTTTGAAAGGTACTTTATCATTGTGAAAAAGGGTAAGTGAAGTTTTTTGTTACTTCTTCTTAACGCTATTTTCAATCGAACGTATTCAACTATCTATTGGGAACAGATTCAATTTAGCACTGCTATCTATTAACATCCAAATAACAGATTCAACATACCGCACTGCAATCTGTTTTCTTGGTTCGTGCTATCAGAATTTTTTTAGTCATAAAGAATCACAAGTCAAGAACGCTAATTCACCGGCTACGAATCAGAGGAATTTTGAAATAATCCTTTTCATAAGGTAAAATAAATTTTCATTTTGTCCACCACTATTTTGTAGAATGAACAAAAATAATAATTTTTGTGGCGCAATATTTATCTTCAGTATGTGTACTGAATAAAAATTTGTACGTTCATAAAAAATAATAATGACTTAACTAATAGTAAAAATGATAATAAAAACTAAATTTGTTTACCCAGAAGAATAATTATACTGATGATAAATGTTGATTGTGGTTGCTTTTGATTGTCGTAGAAGTAGTACTAGTGATTGTATTAGTTACTGGAGATGTTATCAGTGATGTATAAAGATTACACAATCCTGCATTACTTAATCTTGATGTCCTGGGCTCAATTGTCAATGACATACTATACATTTCATCTTCATCTAATAAAAGAGATGGATCCAAAAGATAATTCGTCACTTTTGTGATTAGCTCAATCTTATATGGGGTTTGTTGAAAGTGTCGAATTTCACGAATAACATGTGCTACCTAAAATGACAGTAAACATTAAAATTTTGATTCAATTCTTCGATTAATAAGATCATTATCCTTTTGATAATCTTACCATTCTCATTTTTGAAAAATTCAATAATCCATCCTCGGTAAAATTTGGAGTTCCTTCTTCAATAAAAGACAAATCGGTAAGATAAATTCCAAGATAGGGAATACATGGTGGATCACAACGATGTAAAGCTTCACGTAAATTACGAAATCTACAGTCAGATGATACAATATTTTGAAGTCTTTCGATTGTTTGTTTTGTCTGTAAAACAAAGATTTCTTATTTAAACTGTTCAAAAAAATATTAAAAGGAAATTGTAATATTAACATACCGTTTTTGATACTTTTTCCCAAGTTTTTTTCAATCTGTAAACACTACTATTGGTGAATGCAGCACATATTTGTAGAACTCCATTATAATTGCGAAGAACTCTGCTTATATCGGCAACTGCTGTCCATTTTTCAATAGCTGCTACTCTTGCAGACATAGATTGTCTTCTAACAATTTCAGAAACAACTAGTAAAGATACCTGATTGAAACGTTTAGTCATCAATGTTATGTGTGGTGCTCTAGTGGCTTTATCCGTTTTCATCCATGCTTGACTGAGAAACTCTCTGAAATTTGGAAAAAAAATTAATTTTGAAGGGTTTTTCGATATTTTAGTTTACTTCTGAATAATCATATATTCTATTTGAATTATATTATAAGTGGACAATTTGGTAGAACAATTCTATTATTTCATAGACGAGAAGGCAAAAGACATGAAACCCCTTGTGGAACACTAAGAGACTCGACAAGGCGAAGTACGACCAGTCCCTTCAAGAAGCCCGCTTAATTCAAGAGTTAGGCTTGGTGATGAGGTCGAACAGTGCAGATGGATAGGTGCTGGCAGTGAGATAACAAATGTCTCCGTCTGCAATTCATCAATGCCGCGTCGCAATGGCACATTCTCCAAGAAGAGATCCTTGCACTGGTAGTAAGAGGAGCTGGCTTAGTTCAGCAAGGCTTGCCACAAAGCTAGAAGGACATATACCCGATCTAAAGGAGATCCTTTGCTGAAGGAAGCATACAAGGAGGCCAAAAGAACCTCAGTAAAGAGATCCAGGCATCGCGACGCCGAAACTGATGGAAGAGCCTAATAGAGGAAGTCGATAAGGATCCCTGGGATCTGGCCTTTAAAATCGTTACTAAGAAATTAGCAAAAGCCCCCTAGCCTGGATAATCCCGATTGGGTCATACAGATAATAAAAGCTCTGTTTCCTCCTGTAGAGCCGTGGATTAAGACGGTCTGTAATTGCTGTAAAGTCGGTGAGAAAGAATTCTCCACTCTTGCAGAGTTGCGAAACTGCAGGGAACAGTTTGAAAACAGGCAAGGCGCCTGGAATAGATGGGATAAGTAACGAGACCCTAAAAGAGGTGATTGTTAATTCCCCCAGATTTTGTTGAACAGCTTCAATCGTTGCCTACAAAGGGAAGAATGCTTCCGCGACTGGAAAAGACAGAGACTGGTCGTCCTAAGAAAGGATGACAAATCTCTAGATAAGGTCTCATCATACAGACCTATTTGGCCTGTTGGATACGATGGGCAAACTTCTAGAGGACATGGTTTTGCAGAGAATGCAAAATCACTTGATTAGAAAACGATTATTTAGAATCATTTCAGATTACTATTTCAGCGTTAGTTCCTTTAGTCTAAACCCTTTGTTATATTTCATAAATGGAACTTTAATAATCAAACGTGCGCTGCAAATTTTTATAGGCATTTGTCAATTAAAATACATACTCGCTAGCAATCGAAACGAAAATCCGATGATCCAAATAAGTCATTTGTTCTGCTATTTCCAAAGCTGATAGGGTTTCAATGTTCTCCTTTGTTTGAACCTGATAATATAAAAAATAAAGAACAATCTAATTATACAGTAATCTATGCTGATGAAACTATATACAGATAAAATTTTGTAAAATAAAAAATAGATACTGACGAGAATTACCTTCGGTGGTGAAAGCAATTGATTTAAGTCTATTTTGCTGCCCTCGTGTTCCTCTTTAGTTAACAATCGAAGAAGTTGACTGGATGCTTTATGTTCAGCCGGAAGTAAATTGGAACTATATATTATATCTTCCAAGAATTCAATTGTTAATTGTTTTAATTTATGATCTAATTCAAAATCTTGAGCATGCTTAGACACCCAATGTCTAAGTACATTTAAAACACGCATTGTCGCTGCAGTTGACATAACAGATTCCTTTCGTCTTGATTTTTCTTTACAAGAACCTGCATTCATTCGATTACTATTACCATCATTTATAATTTGACGTTCATGAACCTTATCTGGTGGATTACTTGATGCTGATGTTGCTATTGCAAAAGCAGTAGCTGCTGTTGAGTTACTGTTTCTAATTGAAGAAAGATAACATTATTTTCTAAGAATACAATTTAAAAAATGCAATACATACCTACGACGACTAGGACGAAAACTTGTTATCACAACACCTGCTTTACTAGACGGTTGCTGTGTATCACTATGAATATTGCAATGTTGGGAGGAAGTGTAAATTTCATTTTCCGGAATAGATCGTCTTCCCGACCAATAATTCTAAAACGTTACAAATCTCCTTAATTTGAAATTCATTGTGGTAAAGATGAAATAAATTATTAACTTACTCCGCTAAAAGTAGTTGAGAAAGAACCGCTTCTTGTTGATGGACCTGAAGTTGATGCCACTGCTGGCGTTGATGTAACCTGAGGTTCATCTTCGTAAATGATACGTTCATCTGAAAAATTAGAAAGCAAAGTTCAAAATCCAAAAGCTCATTAATTTATTATGTGTCATTAAATAATGCCTCACCTTTTGTCTGTGCTGCTATTACTAATGGACTATCTGTAACTGTTTCTTCGGAAATTTCACGTGAATATGATTTTTCAAAATCTCCACGTTGTGGACTTGGATCGGAACCTGATCCAGAACCTGTTGATCCAACCAATGTAACTGAACTCAAATTACTTGGAGATGATGGTGCACTGACAATAGTATTATCTGCAAATACAATGCACAGGATAAAAACCTAACTTTAACTGATCTTCATAAAAGATTCTTGAGAAAGGCTTGCCACAAGGCTAGAAGGAAATATACCCGATCTAAAGGAGATCCTTTGCTAAAGGAAGCATACAAGGAGGCCAAAAATAATATCAGTAAAGATATCCAGGTGTTGCGACGCCGAAACTAATGGAAGAGCCTAATCGAGGAAGAGATAATCCTAATCCCAGAGAAATTAAAAATGGAGTGAAATAATATGTCAACTCACCAGTGAGTGTTTCAGCGCTAGAGGATACTGCTATAACCTTAGGAATCTTTAAATGTACTAATTCATAACTAGTACTTTCATTCTCATTTATAGTATTTTTTTCTTTTTTCTCAGTCTTATCATCAGACATTAATTGCTGGGAAGATAAATCAGATTTGATGTCAATAATAGGAGCATTCGACTGGTCGATTTTAATTGACTGTTGAAAATTGTGATATTCTTGTTCTTCATCTTCTTTTACTAAGTAGTAAGAAAATTCAATTGGTTTTTACTTTTTGGTAAACAAAAAGCCAGAAAATATTTAGAAAAAAGTTACCTTTATGAAATCCAGAACACCTGTGTTGACAACTTTTCGAAGTGTTTGCTGTTGAATTTCCAAAAGTTCCAGTAGCAATCGCACTGTTATGATCCATACCACTAATTTGATTTTTCAACGTTTCTGTTTTGCCACATTCACTCATTTCGGATCCATAACCTAGTGATTAACATTAATTAATATTTTTCAAACAGTACTTAATCAAATAATCTTACCAGATACAGAACTAGCACCACTTGTTCGTCTTGGTGTTAAACATTTTCTCGAATTATCTTCACAAAGTTGTTGCTGGAACTGATTACTGTAATACAAAAACTTAATGTAAAATTACACACTTTCGATAGTTTAATTAATTCTTACCTAATTATGAAATTGCTTGCTCCAATATTATTTGATGCTTGAGGTGCATCAGGAGGTTCAGCGTCATGAAATACTTTTTTCAATGCCTCTAATACAGTAACTCCATTAGTAAAAACCCTATATGTTAGCAAAAAAGTATTAAGGAAATCAATACTCAAAAATCTGAGGTCTGTGAGTCTTTGTAGTATTCTATCTGGTGTCGCATAACGAATTTGTGGTACTTTACATGAATTTAATGTGCGACTAAATCTAATATCTACGTCATCTTTAAATAGTTTTGGATCATTTCTAATTGATCGAGGCATTGTCACTGAACTTGTGTCTGACAATGAACTGTGTAAAAATTCATTAAAACGAACATTGTCCATACATTGGCTAATATCACTGATCCAAGCAGCTTTCTCCTGATAAGAAATTTTTTTTTAATTTTATAATAGTTATTAATAAATGAAAACTTTATACGAACCTGGACAGTTAGAGCAACCAAATGTACTTCCACTTGACCTCCAGATCCTTTTAAATCGAGAACAACTTTAAAATCAAGATTTTGCACTTGTCCAGAGTAACCACTTCCACTGCCACTACTCTCGCTTATGCCGCTTGACACTGAACAAACTGATAATTCTACAATAAGTGAAAAATCACTTTGAAAATTTCACTTATTTAGTGAGTATTAAAATTTTTTTTTCTACTGACCATCATCATCCGTTGTACTTTGATCACTTGGATCTTCAATTAAAATTGCATCGCATAGTGGAATTTTTCCAATTTGAGGAACAAGATTTAAACGACCATCATCATCTGATTGTCTAGTTGCAAGTATTAAATGATTTGAAAATAAAAAGCACTGTCGCATTGTTTTTTTGTCGTTTACATTTTTTCCACTAAACGTTGCAGTAAATTTTCTTCGTGAACCACGAGATTTTTCTTGTAGTTGCACTAGTGCACCTTTAAACACAAAATGAATTACTTTAATTCTTTCGAAAAAAAATGGTATTTGCTTTATGTTTACTTACCTTGTCTAACAAATACTTGATTAACATCTAATAAAATATCACATCCTTCAACAATCATTCTCTCAACAGCTAGATTTTTTCGTAAATTTTCTGTTTCGCTCACCTATAAATTCATATTTATGATTATTTAATAATAAAAGATATTTAAATAATTGGAAATATTTTCAAGTCTATTTACCTCATCATGCATCTGTCTGGAAAGTTGCTCTAGCTGCTGACGAGCATTTTGTAAACTTGTACGTTCAACATGATCGTGCGGTGTATGAGCTAATAATTCGTGTAATGTTACTATGTACCGTGGAATCTAAATATGAACATTAGGAAGAGGATTTAATTACAAAAAATCGTAAACGATGAATGTGCAACGAATTTGTTGTACATTCGTTTCTGACTAATTCCTGATTTATCCGGAAAGTCTGTAATTTTTACCAAGGCAAAATATGAAAGTGCAACGAATTTTTTTCACATTCGTTTCTGACTAGTTCCTGATTTATCTGGAAACAATCTGTAATTTTTACCAGGGCAAAATATGAATGTCCAACGAATTTGTTGCACATTCGTTTCTGACTAATTCCTGATTTATCCGGAAAGTCTGTAATTTTTACCAGGGCAGAATATAAATGTGCAACGAATTTATTGCACATTCGTTTCTGACTAGTTCCTGATTTATCCGGAAACAATCTGTAATTTTTACCCGCGCAAAATATGAATGTGCAACGAATTTGTTGCACATTCGTTTCTGACTAGTTCCTGATTTATCCGGAAACAATCTGTAATTTTTACCCGCGCAAAATATGAATGTGCAACGAATTTGTTGCACATTCGTTTCTGACTAGTTCCTGATTTATCCGGAAACAATCTGTAATTTTTACCAGGGCAAAATATGAATGTCCAACGAATTTGTTGCACATTCATATTTTGCCCTGATAAAAATTACGAACTGTTTCCGGATAAATCAGGAATTAGTCAGAAACATTTCACGTCAATTTGGGAATATTTCGGCTTGATTTTGGATTTATTTTTTCATCCAGATTGATTCCTGACTAAAACGGATCATTTTCGTATTGTTTTCCTACAATTTCTTAACTAATTCGGACTGATCTCTCAGTATTTAATCTGAAATCACTCAGGAATTTCAAGCAGAGTTTATTTATTCTCTGACGTAAATTTCACTTTACCTGATGCATAGGATAAGTCAGAAAAGTTTCAAGAGACCTTCCATGACAAGGCGTCTTTTTTTCAAGTCGATTTAATAATGCAGCAAACGATGATGACGATTGCTTACATTCTGTTAATACTTGAAGACTATAATGATGATTTCGAACATATTCTTGATATATTGATAACATTGGAAGTAGCATATCGAACAAGTCACCTAAATAATTAAAAGATAGTTTTACATTTTGATCATCAAATTCTGTATTTTTAACTTTTTCCCATAGAATTAATACGTAAAAATATAAAAAACGTTTAAATACAATCCTTACCCAAAACAAGGGTTGGCCAACTCTCCATACGAGATGTAAGACCTTTTAAAAATATTTGATGCAAAAATAAAACTGTTTCACTATTCAAAAAAATACTATTCACATCCTCATGGCTACATGGAGGCTTTTTTGAACTCGCTGCCATTTTAAATGGCCTCAAAAAACAACTAACTAATATTTCCATTTGCTCTGTATATTCCTCTTCAGCTTCTACCATTTGAAACACTAAACTGAAATAATAAATTTTAATTAAAAATTCAAATCAAAATTAAATTCATAATTTCTTTAAAATCTAAAATAATGAATAAAAAATTATTACCTATTTCTTTTTCTCATACTTTCAGCGTGTGGACTTTTTATATATTGTTCAACAATTTGTTTCCAACGACGTCTACATAACCAACCACGAAAAAAACTTTGTACTTTTTTTATTTTTTGCATTTCAATAGAGCCTTCGGTAATTTCTTTAAAACAATGTCCAGTATTACCATTATTGGTACTATTACCACACGGTAATTCCGATTCAATGCCAGATGATTGTAAAAATGATTGTGTTGTTGTTGTTGTTGTAGTTGTTGTTGCACAAGAAGATGTTGTATTATTGTTACTGCTATTGCTTGTTGAACAAATACATTGTGTGAAATTTCTTTGAATTGATTGTCGTCTCATACCGTATGTAGTAACAGATGCTGCAGTTGTACAAACAGAACTGGGCCTCAATTCTTTTTTAATTGCACAAAGCTTAAAAAATTAAATGCAATTTTATTTATTTGTTGCACATTCATATTTCCTATGAAATTTTTGCAGAAAATAAATTGAAAAATAGAATATTATAACAAACCTCGGCTCGAAGCTTTTTTATTTCCGATGCTAAATCCTCACATTGTTGTGTATATTGCCATTTGGCTGTTTTTTCAGTTTCCACTATTTGCAACAAATGTAAATGCTTCTGTTCCAATTCTTCTTTTTGCAATAATAATTTATTGAAACTGCAAAAGAAATTAATAATGTAAATACAATTTTCGTTGTTGTTGATAATAGTTGTTAATTACCTAGCTTCGCAAATTGCTTCTATCCACATTTTACAACATGTTTCAGTTGCAGCTTTAAGTTCATACTGTCGTAAATTTTCTCTTCTATAAGATATAGCAAAACTGTGCTGCAATTAAATATACAAAAGTTTCTTTTAAATTAAATAATCCTTTATCAATGGGAGAGTAAGTAATTTTATATTAAATATATATATACCTGCTTTTCTGTCTCCTTGCTTTTTGCTGCAATAATACGCTCACAATAACAACCTTCCAATAAAATAATACCGCTAGGTCGAGTACTAGTTTCATTTTCATAGTAAAAGAGTATATTCTGTAAAATTAGTGAAATTATCAATTTACTAACGTATGGGAAGCAATATTTTTATAAAGAAAAATTTTTGTATTCCCATGGCAAATTGGAATTAATGAATGTGCAACAAATTCGTTGCACATTCAATTTCCGATTGCCTGCGTCATTTTTATACAATTTTTTTGGTAAATTTTTATTATTTCGTGACCCAGGGCTTAAAATTTTAAATTATAATATTTAATTATGCATTAATATTAATGTACAAGGCATTATTATAACTTACTTGATAAAGAACAAACCAACGTATTTGCCATTTAGTAGAGTCAGACGTTCGTTTATGCAAATAACCGGCAACTGAATGATCATAACGAGCTCTTTCAGATAACATCAGTAGCTGCGAATCGTTTACACGTACTGTAAATAAAAAAAAATTTATTTATATAATAATCTACAATATTTTATAATAACAAATAAAAGCTGGATTTTCTAATTAATATTAAAAATAATCCACTAAAAAAAAAAAACTTAGCAAGAAAGGAATAATCAATATAATCGAAAAAAATATATAAATATTGAAAAGTTACATTTGTCCATACCAGTCCTTTGCATCTTGGGGCTTAGCATGATGACATATGAAAAAATTTTCTCGTCACAAAATTTTAAAATAATTTTTCCAAATTTCGATGAAAATTAAATGACTTCTAGATTCAGCCAACAAGAACATTATTATAGTAAGCTCCAACTGTAAAATAATTTATAATAATTAATTTTAAATTAATAAAATTATGTTTCAATATTTTTTTATTGTTACTAAAATTAATTAATTCCCTTTACAATATTCCGTTTAATCTTTCTACTTTGCACTTCATTCTCTTTCTCTATATTTTAATCTAGGTATACACTTATCTCTTCTTATTTCTTTTTTTATGCAAATCCAATTCATTCATATTTAAGTGGATTTCTTTTTATCTTTATTTCTTCTTTCATCTTTTTTAATTCTCCTTAATCTATTCCTTTTCATAACCATACGATTCATTTAATTATCTTTGTTTCTCCATTTTAATTTAAGTATTCATTTATTTCTTTATATCTCTTTTTACCTCCTTTTATCTTTTTATCTTCTTTTATCTCTTTTTATCTCATTTATCTCTTTATATCTCCATTTTTGTTACTTTTCTTTGTTTTCTTTTTATTTTATTTTATCTATTTTTATCTCTATTTGTATTTTTTAAATCTTTTTCTATCTGCTTTTATTTATTAAAAAAAAATTTTTTATCTTTTTTTATCTCCATTTATATCTTTTTATCTCTTCTTATCTCCTTTTATCTCTTTTTATCTCTAATTATCACCTTTTACCTCCTTGTATCTCATCTTAAATTTTTATCTTATGTTATCTATTTTTATCTCATTCTATATCTTTTTATCTCATTTATCTCTTTTTATCTCTTTTTACCTCCAATTATATTACCTTTTTTTTCTTTTTATTTTATTTTATCTCTTTTTATCTTTTTTTATCTCTTTTTATCTCTCTTTATCTCTTTTTATCTCTTTTTATCTCCTTTTATCTCTTTTTATCTCTAATTATCACCTTTTACCTCCTTGTATCTCATCTTAAATTTTTATCTTATGTTATCTATTTTTATCTCATTCTATATCTTTTTATCTCATTTATCTCTTTTTATCTCTTTTTACCTCCAATTATATTACCTTTTTTTTCTTTTTATTTTATTTTATCTCTTTTTATCTTTTTTTATCTCTTTTTATCTCTCTTTATCTCTTTTTATCTCTTTTTATCTCCTTTTATCTCTTTTTATCTCTAATTATCACCTTTTACCTCCTTGTATCTCATCTTAAATTTTTATCTTATGTTATCTATTTTTATCTCATTTATCTCTTTTTATCTCTTTTTACCTCCAATTATATTACCTTTTTTTTCTTTTTATTTTATTTTATCTCTTTTTATCTTTTTTTATCTCTTTTTATCTCTCTTTATCTCTTTTTATCTCTTTTTATCTCCTTTTATCTCTTTTTATCTCTAATTATCACCTTTTACCTCCTTGTATCTCATCTTAAATTTTTATCTTATGTTATCTATTTTTATCTCATTCTATATCTTTTTATCTCATTTATCTCTTTTTATCTCTTTTTACCTCCAATTATATTACCTTTTTTTTCTTTTTATTTTATTTTATCTCTTTTTATCTTTTTTTATCTCTTTTTATCTCTCTTTATCTCTTTTTATCTCTTTTTATCTCCTTTTATCTCTTTTTATCTCTAATTATCACCTTTTACCTCCTTGTATCTCATCTTAAATTTTTATCTTATGTTATCTATTTTTATCTCATTTATCTCTTTTTATCTCTTTTTACCTCCAATTATATTACCTTTTTTTTCTTTTTATTTTATTTTATCTCTTTTTATCTTTTTTTATCTCTTTTTATCTCTCTTTATCTCTTTTTATCTCTTTTTATCTCCTTTTATCTTTTAATATTCTTTTATGTCTTTTTGTCTTTTTTAAATCTTTTTTCATCTGTTTTTATTTATTTTTTTAATTATTTTTTTATCTCTATTTATATCTTTTTATCTCTTCTTATCTCCTTTTATCTTTTTATTTTATGTTATCTATTTTTATTTCTTTCTACATCCTTTTATCTCTTTTGACATCTATTTAGATCTTTTTATATCTTATTATATATTTTAATCTTTTTTTATCTCCACTTATATTTCTTTAGTTTTGAATTTATTTTAATTTATCCATTTTTGTCTCTTTTTGTATTTTTTAAATCTTTTCTCATCTGTTTTTGTATATTTCAAAAACAATGTTTTCTCTTTTTTATCTCCTTTTATTTCTTTTTATCTGGTTTTAATCACATTTTGTAATTTTTAAATATTTTTTTATCTCTTTGTATCTCTTTTTATTTCAATTTATCTAGTCTCTTTTTGTTTTTTTTTAAATATATTTTCATCTCGTTTTATCTATTTTAATCTCTTTTTATATCTCCATTTATATCTTTTTATCTCTTTTCATATTTGTTTATCCGTTTTTATCTCTTTCTATCGCTTTTTATTTTTGTTTATCTTTTTTTGTCTTTTTTAATTTTTTTTTCATATGTTTTTATTTCTTTTGCTTTCTTTTTATCTCTTATTATCTTTTTTTTATATATTTTCCCTTATAACAAAAGGATATCCCTAGGATATCCATAGGATATCCATATCAATGGTCGATATCCTAAAATGGTCCCCATGATATCTTGGGATATCCATAGGATATCCCTAGGATATACAAATCGCCCGTCTGTGGGACATCAACAGGACATCCATAGGATATCCACAGGATATCCCTAAAACATCCACAAAATATCTATTGGATATTATATCGCAGGATATCCATGGGATATCCTCAGGATGTCCGTGGGATATTCTTAGGATATTCACGGGATATTTAATCTTAGAATGGTCCCCAGGATATCTTGGGATATCCATAGGATATCCAAACCGCCGGTCTGTGGGACATCAACTGGACATCCATAGGATATCCACAGGATATCCCTAAGACATCCACAAAATATCTATTGGATATTATATCGCAGGGATATCCTCAGGATGTCCGTGGGATATTCTTAGGATATTCACGGGATATTTAATATCTCAACATATATTTTTAAAGGTTAAAATTGTTAAGCTAATATAATGAATAATAATATAATAAAAACAAAAATCTTATGAGCTTCTAATTTATTTTAAATGAAGATTTGAAACGCATTTTTCAAAGTTTTTAAATAAACTCATGGCACTCAATGTATAATTAATATTAATAGTTATTCGTTATTTGCGGGGAAGAATTTATATTGTTTAAAGCCAATTTATTTTCTGACAATATTAAGCATATGAATAAAGGATTGAATCACGAATGAGAAAAAAATTAGTTAATAATTTTTCAAATTAAACAACTTTCTCGAAAAACAAGTTGCATTTTTTTTATTTATATAAAATTTAATTCACAGAATATTCTCACTCGTAGTCTCATAATGACTTTAAAAACAGTATCCTGAGAATATCTTCTTGACATCCAGAAGATATACTGAGAACATCCTGACGATATCTATGGGATATCCTGACGATATCTATGGGATATCCTGACGATATCTGTGGGATATCTGGAGGACATTTATGAAAGTCTATAGAGATATCCCGAAGATATCCTGTGGATATCCTCAGATATCCATGGGATATCCAAACCGCCGATTTTTTGGATATCCTTAAGAGATCCTTTTGATATCCATAGGACATCTTTAGGATATCTGCGGGATATTATCAATATATCCCAAGATATCTTGTGTTATTAGGGTTTATCTTCTTATACAAAATTCAATCTGATTTATATTCCTCGTTCAATTCGTTTATAGTTAAAATAGAAAAATACAGGCTTGTTTTTTTATGTTCCGGACCCCGTAAAAATTTTTTTAATTCCACTTTTTTTTTTGTTTAAAAAACGAAAAAAAAATGAGATTAAAAAAAAGTTTATTGGATCCGGAACATAAAAATCATCCTATATATAAAAATCTATTGCAAAATAGATACGACTTCAAAATAAAAGGATACTAAATAAAGAAATATAAATATATATATATATATATATCATCCAATATAGGTGTTTAATAAGGAATAAAAATTCAGAGATAGAAAAATACAATATTTTGTAAATGCAATTTGGCTAATGTAATGAGATAGTAAACATTATATTTCTTTCTATCTAATTAACTTTTTACTTCCAATTCAGATAAAAATAAATAATAATAATAATAGTAATTTAAACCAACAATTTTATTTATGATGATATTAACCTAAAACAATTTATTTTATATTCCATTTACGATGAGTATCAATAACTAATGTGAGGTCATTTATTCAGTAGCTATTACTACTTGAATTATTAAAAATCACTTTTTCTTTTTTTCGTTAAAACACAAAAATCTGTTCATAGAAGAAAGATTATTATTATTACTATTATTATTGTTATTATTTTATTATTATTACTATTATTATTATTATTACTATATTATTGTTATTATTATTATTATTATTTATTATTATTATTATTATTATTATTATTATTATTACTATATTATTATTATTATTATTATTATTATTATTATTATTATTATTATTAATCATTAGCAACATTTGTTACCAATATTAAAAATATCAATAATTATAAGACAATTTTTCCATAATGTAAATGTATTTATATAATAAAAAGACTATTATAATTATATATATATATTATTATATCTATTACAATTTTATTTAAAAATATAATTTTCAATTTGACTACACACTAAAATGAACTATGGATTCGTGCAAGTTGAGATGAAGTGGTGGGTGGGAGAGATACAACAATTTAGCCACCTGTTAACCAACTCTGAGTAAACTTCACATAAACTATATAGCAAATTATATTTGTTTATTTAAATTTATCTCACATTATTTCTAATTTTAACACACTAAAATAATGCAATCACTATATTACTACAATTATAATAAATAGAAAATTATTAATAAAATTACACAAATATAAAAACAGGCATGACATTTTTATCATCTACAAGGACTTTTTTTTATTTTATTAAATATTAAAATTGAAAATCTAAATTTACATAATTTTTTTTGCAAGGCAATGAAGAAAAATTGTAAATATTTATTGTAAATTTTTAATAAATAAATAAATATATATATATATATATATATTTAATATATATCAAAATACCAAAATAAATTTTAATTTTTTGATAAAAACTAAAAAACGAAATATTAAATTAAAAAAAAAATAATAGAAGAAATAAAATATAATTAAAAAAAACATTTATATTAAATTACCCGTCAGATTCTCTGACTTATTAACACAGTAACCTGAGAATCAGCAGCAGCAGCAGCAACAGGAGCAGCAGCTGAACAACCCTCCCTGTTGCTCGTTCGACCCTCTTTTTACGCACTTGATTGCGCCGAATCTTTTACCTACTTATATTGCGCAAACTCAATGCTTCAAATCGTACGAAGCAATACATCAGCATAGTAAAACATTTTTTTTTTCAATCATTATATAATACTTCAAAAAATATAATTTACAGAAAAAAAAAATTTTTTTTGGAAAAAATAAAATATATATATTTTTACAGTCACTAAAATCATTGTCATAGAAAAGTAAACTAAAATATCATGTGAAAACTGAAAAAAATGGGATTTAAAAACTATTTTTTTATAAATTAAAAAAAATTTCTATTTTTCAAAATTTTTGAATTAAATTTTTTCATGTTAGATTGATTGATTGATTAAATTAATAATTAGCAAATAAATTATAGAATTGTAATTTATAATTATAATAACTTATAATTATAATAATTACAATAACTTATAATTATAATAATTACATAATTAAATTTTAATTATAATTAATAATTATCAAAATAAACAATTAAATTCTAAATAGTCAGTTAACAATAATAATGTTAATTCAAAATTTAAACAATCAAATTGTTATAAAATATCTTAAGGGTATGTTCAACATGTGAAATGTACAAACAAACCGAAAATATAAGCAAATATTGACTAATTTGTGAGCAAGTCCTGCTGTTTTGGTAATTTTTTCCTCAAAGAATACAATAGTATAACCTTAAATTTTTAAGTCATAATATTAAAATTTAAATAACTCATGAATTTTTAAGTAAAAACACGCAATTTTTCGTTTTTATTTTTTACAATTTTTTTCAACTAATTTTAAATAAATTAATCCCCGTAAAACTAATGAAAATTTAAAAAACACATTATAAGCTACATCAGATTAAATTTTTGTGCAAAAATATTCAATACCGACTGTATAATACACGTTTGAATACGTCGGGTCTAGCAGACCCGTTGTGCCATTTACTCAGACAGCACGTAAACTTGCAGCAACCTTGCGGCAAGCTTGCCACGCAATAATTCCAACCTTGCACGGCAAGTTTGCCGCAAAGTTACATCGTCCCACCTAACCCAAGCTTGCATGGTAAACTTGCCGAAAGATTGAAGTATAAGGTTACTGCAAGATTGCACAATAAGATTATCGCAAGATTGCATGGTAAGCCTACTGAAAGATTGCAGTGTAAGGTTACTGCAAGATTGCATGGTAAGCTTACTGAAATATTGCAGTGTAAAGTTACTGCAAGATTGCATGATATGATTATCGCAAGCTTGCATAGTAAGCTTGCACGGTAAACTTGTGGCAAGGTTGGTGCAAGGTTGACAATAACCTTCCCCAGGAACTGGTGCTCAATATATGTATGTACAAAAATAAATTTCCTCTCACAAAAAATTTTTTTGTTATATTCCGCAAGCTTGCGCCAAGCTTGTCATAAGGTTGCGAGCAAACTTGCATGGCAAGCTTGCTGCAACCTTCTGTGCTGATTGGCAAGGTTATTTGGCAATCTTGCACCAACCTTGCAACAAGCTTACCGTGCAATCTTACTGAGCAATCTTACTGTGAAATCTTGCAGTAACCTTACACTGCAATCTTTCGGTAAGCTTACCATGCAAGCTTGGGTTAGGTGGGACATTTAAAGCTTGCGGCAAGGTTGCTGCAAGCTTACGTGCTATCTGGGTATGTTCGAACACGGAATTTTGCCAGTTATGAGTTAATAATTTTTTTTTTTTTTTTGAATTTTTAAGATTATTATTTTAATTTTAACACTTAACTAAAAGGTAATTGAAAAATTAATTTTAAAATTTTGCTATTTAAAAATTTTTTTTATTGCCAAAATTTGATTAAATATAAACATAGAAATTTATTACAATTACTTTTATAAACAAAGTAATAATTTTTTTGCAAATGTGAAACTTCTTTTACATTCCATAAGAAAATTTTCTTTATCGATCTATATATATAAATATATTAAGAAAATCAATTAAACATTTGATACCGCTACTATAACTTTCATCAGAATTTCAATACCTTTAAGAAATATATCTTTATTGAGGCGCTCATCATTTTCATGAAGGAGAATTGGTGAATTATTTATTGGAGTAAATCCAAATGCTGGAATTCCCAACTAAAACGTAATTTTCATTCAATAAAAAGAACAGAAATTATTATACCAAATTCATTTCAAATCAGGCAGGTTGAAACGACGTTTATTTAAAATTTTAGATTTTTTTCAGCCTGCCTGATTTGAAATGAATTTGGTTATTACCCTCATAACAAAAGGATATCCCTAGGATATCCATATCAATGGTCTATATCCTAGAATGGTCCCCAGGATATTCCTAGGATATCCAAACCGCCGGTCTGTGGGACATCAACAGGACATCCATAGGATATCCACAGGATATCCCTAAGACATCCACAAAATATCTATTGGATATTATATCGCAGAATATCCATGGCATATCCTCAGGATGTCCGAAGGATATTCACGGGATATTCACGGGATATTTAATATCTCAACATATATTTTAAAAGGTTAAAATTGTTAAGCTAATATAATGAATAATAATATAATAAAAACAAAAATCTTATGAGCTTCTAATTTATTTTAAATGAAGATTTGAAACGCATTTTTCAAAGTTTTTAAATAAACTCAAGCACTTAATGTATAATTAATATTAATAGTTATTCGTTATTTGCGGGGAAGAATTTATATTGTTTAAAGCCAATTTATTTTCTGACAATATTAAGCATATGAATAAAGAAATGAATCACGAATGAGAAAAAAATTAGTTAATTATTTTTCAAATTAAACAACTTTCTCGAAAAACATGTTGCATTTTATTTTATTTATATAAAATTTAATTCACAGAATATTCTCACTCGTAGTCTCATAATGACTTTAAAAACAGTATCCTGAGAATATCTTCTTGACATCCAGAAGATATACTGAGAATATCCTGAAAATATCTGTGGGATATCCTGACGATATCTATGGGATATCCTGACGATATCTGTGGGATATCCTGATGATATCTGTGGGATATCTGGAGGACATTTATGAAAGTCTATAGAGATATCCCGAAGATATCCTGTGGATATCCTCAGATATCCTGTGGATATCCTCAGATATCCTGTGGATATCCTCAGATATCCTGTGGATATCCTCAGATATCCTGTGGATATCCTCAGATATCCATGGGATATCCAAAGGATATCCAAACCGCCGATTTTTTGGATATCCTTAAGAGATCCTTTTGATATCCATAGGACATCCCTAGGATATCTGCGGGATATTATCAATATATCCCAAGATATCTTGTGTTATTAGGGTATTATTATTATTTTTGAAAAAATAGTAAAAACTTACCTCACGCAAAAAACGAGCGTCTGTAGCTCCAGGACAAACAATAGGCTCTAATTTAATTTTATTATCATCGCAAGCTTTTTTAAATGCTAACCAAAAAGGATTGGTATCATCTAATTTTGTACCTTCAACACGTTTATTACCTATTATTTCAAAATAAACCCCATCTCCTGCTTCTTCACACCATTGTTTTATCATTTTTCTAAATTCCTCATGATCAACATCGGGAGCTAAACGAACATCAAAACCCACTGATAATTCCTCGGGAATAACATTTATTTGTACACCACCCTAAAATTAAAAAAAAAAAAAATTTCAATATTTTTTACCCACCTACATATTAAGGCCAGGTCCAAGTGAGGCAGCGCCATCTACATTGAAACTAATATTTTGGAAAATTTTCAACAGCCTTTTCTTGAAAACAAGAAGGTAAAATGCTTTTTCCTTTATGGATAATTGATTATTGGCAAGATATACACCAGCTAAAACTTTTTTTGAGTTAAAATAATAAAAAATATTTCATGTCAATAAATTAAATATGAGCACTTTTTTCACAAAAACTGTAACAGTACTTTCTCAGAAATTACAATCAAAAATGCAATTTCCATTTGGAAAATTAATAAACGCTAAAAAATACACGACCTAAGATTTACCAATCACGAAAATAACAAAAAAAAAGTATTTTAACATAACATATTTTACTCATTATGAGAGCCGTTTGGCAGGTTATATATGTCACCAGACGCTTCGCAGTTTAGCCGAAAGGAGGAGATTGGCGCTGTTGCTAACCACCTGAAATACATAATCTACCAAAGGGCTGTCACAATCAGTAAAGCAGTATCAATATGTTAAATATTTAATAAAATTTTTTTTTGTTATTTTCGTGATTGGTAAATCTTAGGTCGTGTATTTTTTAGCGTTTATTAATTTTCCAAATGGAAATTGCATTTTTGATTGTAATTTCTGAGAAAGTACTGTTACAGTTTTTGTGAAAAAAGTGCTCATATTTAATTTATTGACATGAAATTTTTTTTATTATTTTAACTCAAAAAAAGTTTTAGCTGGTGTATATCTTGCCAATAATCAATTATCCATAAAGGAAAAAGCATTTTACCTTCTTGTTTTCAAGAAAAGGCTGTTGAAAATTTTCCAAAATTTTAGTTTCAATGTAGATGGCGCTGCCTCGCACTTGGACCTGGCCTTAAGGGGGGAACACCAGTTGTAACTTTCGAAAAATCGAATTTTTTTTTTGCATTTTCTTAAAGTATACATATTTAGAAATGTGTCTGTAAATTTTAAACTTGATCCGGTGAAAAATAAATGAGATATACAGAACACTGCAGCGGCGCGTCCCGTGGCTTCAGACAAGGTGGCCAGCCATACCTGACCCTAACGACAGATAGCCTTTTCCTATGATTTAGAAACGGCAACCACTGCGGAAGAGTTATTATATGGTCCAGGAATCGATGACTCTTTGTAAATTGGAAACAAAATTTCTTCTGAACAAAAAAAAGTAAGTTGAAACTTTGAATGCGTTTTTCTCAAAATGACATTTTCCAAGTCGGTGACCACGATTACTCGAATACCATTAAACCGATTTATTTAAAATTTAGTGTGCTTCATTTACACATATAAGTCTAGTTCGTGATCGAAGGATTTTTTTTTTATGCAAAACTTTTTTTTATATAGCTGAAAATCGACCGTATTTTTTTAACGAAAATCATACTTTTGACTTTGACAGGTCGCCATTTTGTCAAATTTTTTTTTTTTTAAATCCTTCGATCACGAACTAGATAATCTTATAATAAATGTAAATCAATTTCATTTTTGTATTTCAGACGAAGTATACTTGCAGAATGCTGGTCACCGCAATTCGCCTTTTTTCTTAAGGCGCCACTTCAATGGCTCATATCTCTAAAAGTTTTTGTTAAAAAAATTTTTTTTTTCTTTTAAATTACAGCTTTTAACATGTACTTTTAACTAATAAATAGTATTCTTTAAAAAGATTCATTGTTCTTTTGGAAAATATTCTTGTAAAAAGCATTATTTCTTGAGTTACAACTGGTGTTCCCCCCTTAATAAGAATTTCTGGTTATTTTTTTTTTCATTATTCTATTTATAAACAAAATACCTTGAGCATTGTTAAATTAACTGTCGACACTTCTCCAGGTTTAAGATTCAGTGTCTTTAATTTATTGTTTTCAATTTCACGAAATTTCATAAAATTACCAATAATTTTATATAATTTTTCACCGGATGTATTTTCATTTGCCATACTGCCGTGTGCTGATTTACCAGTACAATGAATCCAAACATGATACTGACATCTTTCATCGTAAAATAAAAATATTGACTCTAATGGAGAAGCAACACTCTCATCTATACAAAAACCAACGTTCAATTTTTTAAAGTCCTCCGTTTTGACAAATGACTCGATACCATCTTTTCCACCAATTTCTTCTTCTGGTGCAAAAGAAATGTGAATTGTTCGTTTCAAACGAATGCCATTTAATTTTAATCGTCTTATTGATTCTACATATTGAATGCTAACATTTTTCATATCCTGACTACCGCGGCCATAAATATCTCCTTTTTCATCGATATGCGCATCAAAAGGTGGATATGTCCATTTTTCCTTAAAAACAATTGTGCGATACTTTAAAAAATGATTTTGGATTAAAATTTTGGAGAAATGATTTTGTTTGGTACAAGGAATCTCGCTGTTCTACTCATTTACCATAACTTAACGCAAAAATAGTAAAAATAAAGCAATAAATAGTAAAATAATGTATTATATCATAGTTCATTCAGTGGCCACTCGCTCGAATTGGCGCTGTTTACTGGAGCACTGACACACTCAAACAACGTCTGTGTATGCGCCGCCATAATTGTTTTCATTTTCATTTAAAAATGCCACTTTTTAAACTCCATTTTTTAATAATTTTACTCAAAATTATGTATTTTTCGGAGAACAGCGAGATTCTTTGTACCCTAATCTATCATCCCTCAAAATTTTAGACAAAAATTTTTTTCTCATTTTAGAGTGAAATGTATACTACCAAAACACATTTTCCCATACTAGGTCACGTGGGAGGTTCCCACATACCCTTAAGATGAAAAGTACAAAAATTATTTGATGAATTAAGAAATATTTTGATATTTAAAATTTTTAAATATTGAAAGCAAATTTTGTTATCGGCGAACACAAAAAGCAACAAGTGTAACAAATTTCGAGCGAAACCCAACAAATGTAAAAAGTGTCCGCCATATTGAATTCGGCATTTTGAATTTTTAAAAACTGTTTTCTTTGAAAAAAAATTCTTTTACTGTAGAAAAAACATTAATTTTCTTTCAAAAAAAAAAAAACAAATTTTTTAAAAACTTAAATTTAAAATTAATTTATATCTTAAAAATAAATATTTTAGGGACGCATGATTATGTTCTAAAAATCATTGGTTAGAATTTTCAATTCATGGAATTTCATTTGTCATATAAATTATTTTTGAGCCGAATTTTTATTTGTTCGAATTCGTATTTTACAGAATTTTCATCAAAACGATTTTCTATTATTATAGAATTTTTATATAACCGAAAAATTCATAGAATTTTCATTTTATTCTTTCAGATGAATTTTCATTTTGTTTCGAATTATTATTATTTGATATAATTTCCATATAACCGATTTTTCATACTACAGAATTTTTACTTAGCCGAAAAATCATTTACCAGAATTTTTAATTGATAGAATTTTCATTTGTCCGAAATTGCAAATGGCGGAACAAACAATCGATTTTGGAGCGATTTTTATAATCAACCAATCAAAAATTATACATAAAATTGTGATTGGTTGATTTTAAAAATCGCGCCGTAATCGATTGTTACTTCGGTCATTTGCAATTTCGGACAAATGAAAATTCTATCAATTAGAAATTCTGTGATTTTTCGGTTATATAAAAATTCTGTAATATAGAAAATCGTTTTGATGAAAAATCTTGCAAAATACGAATTCGAAAAAATAAAAATTCGGCTCAAAAATTATTATATGAAAAAATGAAATTCCATAAAATGAAAATTCTAACTAATGATTTTTAGAACATAATCATGTGTTCAGTATTTTATATGAATATTGAATTATTTTTGAATTTACAGCATAGACAGGAACGACATCCATATGACCGTTTAAAAAAATTGAAGGCAATTCAGGCTCGAGACCTTTCCATGTTATAATTACTATTGGTTTCTTTGGCACTGGTTCATACATTTTCACTGGCAAATCCAAAGATTTTGCCAATTTAAATATAAAAGCTACACAAGGATCTGTATAACAAAAATAAAAAATTTTATTACATTTAATAAGATAATAAAAATTTCGATGTAATAGAAATTATAATAATTGCAATTTGGTTAATAATAATGTGCGCACCCCTGTGATTTAATTTTTACTTACCATAATTAACATTCGGATGAACCGAAGGAATTCTCAAATATTCCTGAAAATTTTCAATTGCAGTTTTATCTAATGCAGCCTTATCAAACGACATTTTTCTTTCCTTGCGGTAGTTTCTTAAAAAAAAAATCAAATTTTATTCAAAAATTTTAGATAAAAATTAAATATTAATTCCTCACATTTTATACGTCTCAAAGAGTAAAATTTAATTTTTAAGAAAATATATTAAAATTATTTTGATCATTGCGACAAAAATACTGCAAAAATAGATTATATAACAAAATTTTATCATATTTTTTGCGATTCGTTTGAGAAATATAACCGCGATAAGATTAAAATTAAAACAAATATTTCCTCTTCATTTTAAATTCGTTTTATGAAACAAAAAAGTAAAAATATCAACAACAAAAAGCACAATTTTTTCTATACAAGTAATTTTATACAATAATAATAATCATAATAAAATTAGTGATTTATAGTAAAAAAAAAAAAAGTAAACAAAAAAGTAACCATTATAAAAAAAATGAAATTTTTCTTATAATATATAATATTTACAAAAAATTAGAATTTTTTAAAAAATATTTTTCAATATTTACAAAATTTACTTCATTTTTTCAAATTTGTTAATAAATATGTAAACTTTTAAAACAACTGATAATAGAAAATAATTAATTTACCTTTCTATGTTAACGCAGTTAATTGTATTTTTGATTTTCTAATTTCTAATTTTTTATCTTATGTGAAGTGTACATATAAGCAGAAATCAACAGAAACGTCTGTGTTTATTTCACCTTGCGAGTATATACTCATGAATGAAATACGCTATTGTGACAATTTTAATAAATGACATATATAACTGGCTGTGTCGAGACATCTAGTGGCGCGTTAATCATTAGTATTTTTGTACAAAAAGTATTAGTATTTAATTAGTATTTTCTACACTTTATTTTTGAAGTAATTTTATTAATAAAATTTAAATTAAATTAAATGAATTATTATTTTTGTTATTAAACTTGTTAGACGTCCTAAATTAGCAATTTAAAAAAATTTGAAAATTTAATTTTTTTCTCAACTTTAAATCAATTAGATATTTTTTCAATTCTAAGGTTAAAATAAAATTAATTATCCTCAAAAACTTTCTACAAAGAGTTTAGAAAAAATATATTTTTGCTCGCTGAAAACAAATTTGAAGTCAAAATTGTTCCATCGCCCTCTGTTTTTTTTTAAATCGAAAAAATCTGTTTTTCAATTTTTTTACCTCTTAAGTTTGATTCTTTCCAATTATGGATAGTTTTTTTGATTAAAAAAATAGGAGTGATGGAGCAATTATGACTTTGTTTTTGAGATTTTAGTGTAAAGTATAATTCTGTATTAAAAAATAGTCTGTTATTTAATTTTTTTATCTTTCAAGTTTTGAATTAATCCATTTAAGGGTAGTTTTTTCGATTTGAAAAAAAAACAGAGGGCGATAGAACAATTTTGATTTCAAATTTGTTTTCAGCGGGCAAAAATACTAAAAGACGTGCAAGTTCAATAATCAGAAAATATTTTTTCTTTGTGTGCCTGTGTAATAACTAATTTTTCATTTCTTTCATTGTTTATGATTAATAATAAAAAGGTTTATTATATTATATATTTGTTATAATAACCTTTAATTTCTTCATGCCATTACGATTTGGTCTTCTATTTATTATTTTTTGTTATAATATATTCACTTTTATATTCATTTCTTTCATTGTTTATGGTTAATAATAAAAAGGTATAAAGGTATAAACGTACCTCTTGACCCTTTGTAAATTTCAAAATGGGATTTGCATAACTTTCCAAGAAATAAATAAAAAAAAAATAACACATTGTAAGATAATAATAATTTTTATTTATCACCATTTTTTTTCAGTTCATTATGTATCGGCATCGTAATTTGTTTTCCTAATAACAATCTATTAAACATAACCTACGACAAGATGCAAATGATGCACCACTACTTTTTTTTTCCATGTCCTGCAAACGACAAATCGAAAAACACGATAAAAAAAATTTGTATTTTTTTTAGCTTTTGTTCTTTGTTTTCTATATACCACTTCTCTCAAAGACAATAATTACTCGCTGTTATTTTCCCTACCAAAAATAAAAAATAAAAAAAAATTGGATAATGATGAGAAAAAGCGAGAATGAGAGAAGAAGTGATTTTCTAAATCGTATTTATTTAACAATTAAATAGTAAATAAGAAATATCGTACGAGTTTACAGTCATGTGTAACTAGTTACATTATATGCAATGACATGGAATATAATACAATGATTGGGGAGCACTATTATACATTTTGTCTTCTTTTTCACATCGCTACGGTCGCTAGCAGCACCGTTATATCGTCAGGTTTTCCTCCTGTAAATAGAAAAAAATTTTTTTTGTCAAAAATAAATTCTACTGTTCAAAGTAAAAACCTAGTCGATTTTTCGTAAGGGTTAGATCTATCGATTTTTTAAATTTATGAAAAAGTGATTTACTAGGTTTTTACTTTGGAACGCAGAATTATTAATAATCCTTTATTATAATTATTATTCCAAATTTTCAGTTTGGTTTTTTTTTTTTCTTTTTTTGTGTTACCTATAGCGTCTATTCCATTTTCCCTAGCGTTTTCAGCGAACGGAGACATAAAAGCTCCGTCAAAAGCTAGAGTACGCGCCATCCAGGCAATTGTATTAGCGACACCTTGTATTTTACAAGGATCACGTTCGCCTTGAATTTTACGCATCTCAGTGACTAGCAACTGGTCAGGCACATTGTCAAACACCCCATCTGTTGCCAAAAGAATTACGTCGCCATCCTCAACGCCAAAACTCGACGTGTCTGCGGATTCCGGACTTAAAATAACAAATTTCACAAAATTATTATTAAAAAAATAATTAACAATATCTAATTGATTTTGATTATTACTGCTCAAGAAAATATCGTTTTTCCTTTTTTTTCGAATAAAAACCCTGGAGAGTTTTTTTTAATTTTACGCCGATTAAAATTTTTTTTTGTCATTAAAGCTGAAAATAAGGACTCTTCAACCCTTAATTGTTTTTTTTTCATTAAAAGTAATATTTACAAGAGAAAAGCTCGAAGAAAGTTTGGAAATTGTCATTTTTTTCCTCAATTTTTCAACTTTAACTGATATTTATGGCATTAATTATATTTTAAATATTTTTTTTTATGTAATATTTAAACGTAATTTTGCGTCGAACGAGTAATATTTGAATAGATTTCTTTAAAAATTGACTGATTTATTGCAGTTTTTCTATTTGCAAGACCAGTAGCAAATTTAATTATTTGTCAGTTTTTTTTAATTTTTCATTCTTAATTGTTTTATGTAGTGTTTTTGAATTTTTAACAATGTTTTGTACCTTGATCAAGCTAAGAATAAGTTTTTCTGTTAATATTAATTTTATTTTCCATATAAGAAAAACGTAGCTAGCCTCAAAAATGAAATTGTTTAGATATTAAATATCAAAAAAAAAAAAATTAATTTTTTAGAACCATTTTTTTAATCAATCAATTCAATATAATAATTATTTTTCAAAACTTCAAATTGCCAATTAATTTAACAAATTTTTATACCTAACAAGCAAAATATGGTACTTTTGCATATAAAAAGGAAATTATATAATAATAAAATACTTGGTCTGTCCTTCTGTCCTAACTTGAAGTTGGCTCATTTTTTGCCAAAGTTGTATAATTGTGTTTCCAAATTTCGGAATAAGTTTCTTTAAAATTCCAAATTCGAAAATTCAATTCACGAAGCTGAAGTACACAACGTTTACCAACGAAATTTTTTTTAAACTTGTATATTGATTCAAAAATTGTACAAAAAATTTATGATGAGAAAAAAGATGCGCCAGGAAATTTCGTACAAGATAGTAATTTGAAAAAAATTTATTTTTAAAAATTAATTTTTAACCCTCGGAGCACATACTGGGTCACACAGACCCTGTCATTAATTTCAATGAAGTGTAATTTGAAAAGTCGGCAATACAACACGAACCTAAGGCCATATAGTGGTAACTAACTAATAAGGAATAATAAGTAACATGATAATCCAAAGAAAATAATAAAATACTAGTAAATATGTTATTAAAAAAGTATAGTTTTAAAAAGTTGTGTCGAAAATCACATTTTTATCGTCTTAAAAGTTACCTTCGTTAAACTACAAAATAAATACCTTTTTTAAAAAATAAAATAAGGTGGTATTTTTTCCCTTATTCTAACACACTTCGAGAATATAAATCCCAATTTTTAGCTTAAAATATTAAAAATTACAAAAGTTACATTTTTTTTTTTAAATTCAACTTTTTCTTTTTAATTAGTTAACTTCACGAATTTTTTTTCAATATGCAAATAATTTAATAATATTTCTAAACTGCATATTCTTATATTTTACAAGATTCAATGAATAAAAAAATATTTTTTTTGTGTTGATCAGTCCAAAAGTTCAAAAATGGGGGAGTTTTGTAAAGTAAACAGGGTCACAGCGACCCAGACTGTGCTACTTGTTCGAAAAAAGAGGTGTGTGCTCCGAGGGTTAATGTACCAGGGGCCAACGAATACCTATTAAATATTAATTATAAAAACACAGGCCTCGAATCAAATTAAAGACACAAAAAAGTCATTTTAGTCGATTTATATTCCAAAAAAAAGGTGGATTTGTTTTTTATTTTAACAAAAATATTTTACAGATTTTTAAATAAAAATTTTTTTTTAATAATAATCCTTTTCGAAGGGTTAAAGTTGAAATTTTTAGAAATAATTAAATTTCAAAAGATATTGTTAATTTTCAAAGAATTATTAAATTTTACAGAACTAAAAATAATTTATCAAACAATTTTTGGAAAACATTTTTTAAATTTAATTGAATTTTCAAAGATTTAAAATTGAGATTTTTGAAATTAATTGAAACTTTAAGTGATTTTTAATTAAAATTTTAGATGATTTCACTAAAAATTTATTAGAAAATGCGGACAAAATACAATAATTTGAAAATAATTTTTAATTGAAAAATGGTTTCAGATAGTTGAATTTTCAAATAATATTATTAAAATAGTTAAAAATAATTGAATTTCCTTAGAGTTATAATTGAAATTATTAAATTTCAAAAAAAAAAAATTTCGATGAAAATTTTTAGAAATAATTAAATTTTAGATGCTTTTAAATTCAAATTATTGAAAATTCAATTAATTTTGAATTCAAATTTTTGAGAATAATGAAATTTTATTTGATTTTAAATTTGGAAAATAACTGAATTTCAGTTCATTTTGAATTGAAAATTTTGGGAAATAATTGAATTTTAATTGAAATTTTGGATAATAATTTAATTGAAGTTCATTTTTGATTGAAAATTTGGATAATTAATTTTGAATAGAAATTTTTAAAAAATAATTGCATTTTATTTCATTTTAAATTGAAAACTTGGTAAATAATTAAATTTTAAATTGAAAATTTTTGATAATTATTGGATTTTTAATTGATTTTTAATTAAAATTTCGGGTAATAATTGAATTTTAGTTTATTTTGAATTGAAATTTTTAGAAAATAATTCAATTTTATTGTGATATATTTTTTTAAATTATAAACAATTGTTAAATTTCATAAAAATTTGAATTGAAAAATAATTTTGATATAATTGAATTTGTGATGTATTTCATTAAAATTATTAAAAATAATTAATTTAGTGAAGAATTATTTTAGTTCAAAATTTATTAAATAATTGAATTGAAGAAGATCTGAAGAAGATCTACATTTTATACTAAAAAAATGTATTTTATTTACATTTTTTTGCAAATGTAAAAAAAATGTCGCATTTTATTAAAATAAGTCGAAAAAAGTCGTATAATTCGAGGCCTGTAAACATATAATTTTCATTATTATCATTTAATATGTAATAATATTCCAATAAATTAAATTATTATTGATAATATTAATCTTTAATTTCTTTATAACAAACAATTAAATACTCAATTTGGCGCGCGTTTAATTTTGCTAGTATTTTTTATAAAATATAAATACCTATCACTGAGGACTTGTCCAGAGTGTCCAGGAGGGGGAAGTGACAACTGAAAAGGTGTATTAAAATAATGTTGTTGTTCGGACGAACGATGCACCACTTCTCCTTTTCGTACAACAACAAAACCACTATCTCCTATGTTCGCCGCATAGATACTGCTCGTTTCCTTATTAAATACAATAACACATGCAGTACTGCTACCTGTGAATTAACAATAATTTTTTTTTCGTAAATATACCAAGAAAATATTCAGAACTTGGATCGACTTTAAGGCATAAAAAAAATCGTTTTAGTCAATTTAAATTCCAAAAAAAAGTCGATGTTTTTTTATTTTTAACAAAATTTAATTGATTAATAAATATTTTACTTTAAATAACAAATTTTATTAGATATTAAATTCATTTTATTAATTCTGTAATGAGAATAATTCTATAGGGTCAGTTGGGGTAAATTGAAACAAGGGGTAAATCGAAACAGTAGTTATTTCAGTTAAATAAAAAATTTTTTTTAAATAAATAAGGCCTCAAACCTTGAACCTTAGATCACCCCCAACAAGGTTTGAGGCCGTATTTATTTTTAAAATTTTTTAATTAATTGAAATAACTACTGTTTCGATTTACCCCTTGTTTCTATTTACTCCAACTGACCCTAATGAATATTATCAAGAAAATCTATTTCCAATATTTCAGAATCAAACTAATTGTAAGACAAATTTTCAAAATTTTATTTAAGTAGAACAAATTTCTAAAAAAGAAAAAATTCTTAAAGTTCCATTTTTATAATTTTTTCAAGTCTGATTTAAGCAATTTATTTCAGGCAATACTTAATAAAGTTTTACAGATTTTTAAATAATTTTTTTTTTTTAAATAATAATAATTTTGGAAGAGTTAAAGGGATTTGAAATTTTTAGAAATAATTGAATTTGAAAAGATTGTGTTAATTTGCAGAAAATAATTAAATTTTACAGAACTAAAAATAATTTATCAAATAATTTTAGATAATATTTTTTTAAAAAGTAATTGAATTTTTAAAGATTTACAATTTAGATTTTTGAAATTAATTCAACTTCAAGTGATTTTTAATTTTTAATTTTTACGATGCTCAAGTACGCAACGTTTATGATAAACAATTTTCAAAAAAAAAAAAAATTTTTTTAAATGAAAAAATTCTATAATTTTTTGCTTAAAAATTTTTTTTTTGTAATTAGTTGATTAATAAAAACAACAAGAAATATTTTTTAGGCAAAAAATTATAGAATTTTTTCATTTTAAAAAATTATTTCTTTAAAAATCGTTTATCATAAACGTTGCGTATACTTCAGCTTCGTTAATTTTTGATAATTTCACTAAAAAATTTATCTGAAATTCTAGACAAAAAAAACAATAATTTAAAAACTTTTTAAGCGAAAAATGGTTTTAGATAGTTGAATTTTCGAAGAATATAATAAAAATCATTAAAAATAATTGAAATTTTTGTAAATAATTAAATTTCATGTGATTTTGAATTAAAATTTTTTTTGTTAATTTTATTTGTTAATTTTTTAAAAATTATAAACTATTAAATTTCATAAAAATTTTAATTGAAAAATTGTTTTCAGATAATTGAATTTGTTGAAGAATTTCATTAAAATTATTAAAAATAATTAATTTAGTGAAGAATTTTAGTTAAAAATTTTGTTAAATAATTGAAATAAAAAAAGATTTAACGCGAAGATTCTTTTTTTTTTTTTGTTAAATAAATAATTTCAATACCTAATATAGGTTGCTTATTTTCAAGTAATTCATAATAACTGCGTGCTAATAAACCCGCTGGTTCAGTAGGTGTAAATTTTCCCATATTAACTAGCCTCTCGCATGTTCTCATGAGAAAACTTGAAAATTCTCCTGGATCTATTCCATAGTGTATCCAACCACCAACTCCATCGGCTACGCCTGCAAAATTTCGCATATATATTATTATTATTCTTTTAATATAGAATAAATTATTTATTTATACCCTTTCGTACAAAGTAAATTATATATTTCACGCAACTTTGAGTCAACATTATCTTTGTACTGAATATTGAAAAATCACTATAAATTTTTGTTCTTTTTGTTAAGTACGTTTATCTCGGAAATCCTTTTGAAAAAAATAATTAACATTTAAATAATTAAAATATTATTAATTGTACTTTCTGAAAAATGAAATATCAATTTTCAAGAAAAAATTAATTTTAAACGTAGAAATTTTTTTTTTTTTTACACAATTTGCATAAGTTAAAAATTTTCTGTTATATCACTTTTACAGAATTATTTTCTGGAGATAATAAGCAGATATTGGAAATATTTTAGGTTTTTAATTTTTTTTCTTGAAAATTGATATTTCTTCTTTCAGAAAGTAAAATTAATTTTTATTATTTTAATTATTTAAATGTTAATTAATTTTAGAGGTCTCCATTTCCGTGGTTAAACGTTCTTAATTTTATTTTACAATTTTTTTTTAGTTTCCCTAGTAAGAATTATTATAGAAAAATTAGAAAATGAAATTTTCATCTCTAAGAATTTTTAAATTATTTTTAAAATCTTATAATTTGAAAACAATTATATAAAAAATTTTAAAAAAAAACAATTTTTTATATTAATAACAATTTTTTTCTTTCTTTAAATTATAAAAAGTCAGCAAACAAAGATTATTGCTGATGCTGCGCGATATTCATTATAATAATAATTGAATAAAATTTGTTATGAAGCGAACAACCGTGAAAACGTAAAACGAACGCTACTAAAAATATCTCACGACTAAAATTTGTTAGTTTTGGCACATTGTCAAATATTTATTAAAAGAGAGATATTTAAACATTATGTCACATGTTAACGTGAGAAAAAAAACAATTTTTAAAAAATTTCATGAAATTATTATTGAAAGCAACTATTTAAGAATAACTTTGTTGACGATCTATTTTAGCAAAATTTTAGAATAAAAGAAATAAAATTTAAATAGAAGCAATAAATTTATTTAAAAAAACTAAATTATAATTTGAGAAAAAAAAAACATAAAAAAAAATTTAATATCGTCTTGGAAATTTAAAGAAAAATTAAATTTTCTTTTTTCTTTATATTGTATTTGGACTTTGAACATCGCTGTTTTTACAATCAAAGAGCAGAGTTTGATAAATGATAATAATTTTAAATTTACTTTAAATTAAAAGTGAGAAAAAAAATGGAGAGAAATAAAATATATAAACAGAGACAATAAATAAATTGTAAACATCGAAAGAAATAAATATAAAAATAATATATATGTGGAGTTTTTAAAAAAAAGTCAAATTCCATTTTAGAATTTACTCTTAAGGTTAATTTAATCGTTGAAAATTATAGATAATGAACTCTAATTGCGGAATAATTATTGTCACCTTTGTGTTAAATGCTTTTTATAGTCTCTCAAACTGGTTTTTTTTAAAAAAAATATCGTATTTCAAAATTTTAATATTTAATTACTAATTAATTCGAATCAATCGTTTTTTTAATACTTTTTAATTCAAAATTTTTAAAATTTTCGATTTTTAAATATAGACCTATTTTACAATTCCCAATTGCCCCATTTTTTTGGCAATTTTTATTTAAAAAAAAAAACTTATAAACAAATTATTTTTCTTTGCTTTTGAATCGTTTTTTTTTAAACTTTGTGTTTAAATAATTTTTTATTCCTTTTTTTTATTTAACAAATGAGACAAATTGACGTGATAAATAATAATTTAAAGAAAAAAAATTTTTTATCTTTTTATTTTTCAAAACAAAAAAATTTTTTTTTGACACTAGAATAGAAAAGTAAATCAAAATAGAAAAATATTTTGAAAAATAAAAAAAAAGATTACAAGATTTTATTTAACAAATTATTTAAATAAAAAAAAATTTAATTATTTCTATTCTAAAACTTTTTTCGTATTTTCAAGAATTATAAAATTATTTTTTTTTTAATAAACGACCCGTGAGGAATGAAAATTAAATTGTTTATAAATAAATAATGAATAATAATAAATAATTTTTATTTCTACTTTTATTTTTAATAATTGATTATTTCTGTGGTACGTTTTTTGGGAACGCATGATTATGTTCTAAAAATCATTAGTTAGAATTTTCATTTTATGGAATTTCATTTGTCATATTATAATTATTTTTGAGCCGAATTTTTTTATTTGTTCGAATTCGTATTTTGCAGAATTTTCATCAAAACGATTTTCTATATTACAGAATTTTTATATAATCGAAAATTCATTTCACAGAATTTTTATTTCTTCGAATTTTTATTTGTCAGAATTTTTATTTAACACAATTTTCATTTAACATAATAGGCAATTTAAAGAATTTTTATTGGGTAGAATTTCATTGCATAGAATTTTCATTTTATTCTTTCAGATGAATTTTCATTTCTTCGAATTATTATTTGATATAATTTTCATAAAACCGATTTTTCTGCAGAATTTTTACTTAACCAAAAAATTTACCAATTTACCAGAATTTTTAATTGATAGAATTTTCATTTGTCCGAATAAACAATCGATTTTGGCGCGATTTTTAAAATCAACCAATCAAAAATTATACATAAAATTGTGATTGGTTGATTTTAAAAATCGCGCCGAAATCGATTGTTGCTTCGGTCATTTGCAATTTCGGACAAATGAAAATTCTATCAATTAGAAATTCTGTGATTTTTCGGTTAAGTAAAAATTCTGCAGAAAAGTCGGTTTTATGGAAATTATATCAAATAATAATTCGAACAAATGAAAATTCATCTGAAAGAATAAAATAAAAAATCTATGCAATGAAATTCTACCAAATAAAAATTCTTTAAAATGCCTATTAAGTTAAATGAAAATTCGAGCAAATAAAAATTCTGACAAATAAAAATTCGAAGAAATAGAAATTCTGTGAAATGAATTTTCGGTTATATAAGAATTCTGTAATATAGAAAATCGTTTTGATGAAAATTCTTGCAAAATACTAATTCGAAGAAATAAAAATTCGGCTTAAAAATAATTATATGACAAATGAAATTTCATAAAATGAAAATTCTAACTAATGATTTTTAGAATATAATCATGTTTTTTGTTTTATTTTTATTTTATTATTAATTTATTTTTACTTTATTTTTTTATTTAATATTAATTAATTAATTTTATTTTTATATTTCATTTTTAATTTTATAATTTTTTTAATAATTTTTATTTATCAAACTAACAATAAAACTATTCATTCAATTTTTAATGTTTTTGATCATTAATTTAATTTTTAATAAAAAAATTTTAGAGATTTTTATAGACAAATTTTTTTTTAAATAATTAATAATTTTGGAAGAGTTAAAGTTGAAATTTCTTAGAAATTATTTGAATTTCCAAAGATTTTGTTAATTTTTAGATAATAATTAAATTTTACAGAACTAAAAATAACTTATTAAATAAATTTTAGATAACATTTTTTAAAAGTAATTGAATTTTCAAAGATTTACAATTTTGATTTTTTTAAATTTATTGAACTTCAAGTGATTAAAAATAAAAAAAAACTTTTGATGATTTCACTAAAAAATTTATTAGAAATTGCAGACAAAAATAAAAACTTTTTAAGCGAAAAATGGTTTTAGATAGTTGAATATTCGAAGAATATTATAAAAATAGTTAAAAATAGTTAAAAATAATTTTATTTCAGGAGAGTTATAATTAAAATTATTAAATTATTAAATTTGAAGTTGAAACTTTTGAAAACAATTGAATTTTTACTTGATTTTGGATTGAAATTTTTTGGATAACAATTTAATTTTAGTTGATATTGGAATGAGAATTTTGATAATTAATTTGGAATTGAAATTTTTGAGAATAATTAAATTTTAGTTGATTTTGAATTGAAAATTATTAAAATAATTTAATTTTACTTGATTTTGGATTGAAATTTTTGAAAATAATTGAATTTCAATTGAAATTTTTTGGATAATAATTTAATTTTAGTTGATATTGAAATGAGAATTTTGATAATTAATTTGGAATTGAAATTTTTGAGAATAATTAAATTTTAGTTGATTTTGAATTGAAAATTATGAAAATACTTAATTGAATTTTAAAAGAGATTTTAAATTGAAAAATTTGAAAATAATTGAAATTTTTGCAAATAATTAAATTTCAAGTGAATTTGAATTAAAAATTTTGTAGTAATTTTATTTGCTAATTTTTTTTTAAATTATAAACAATTATTAAATTTCATAAAAATTTTAATTGAAAAATAGTTTTTTAATAATTAATTTATACTGAAGAATTTTAGTTGAAAATTTGTTAAATAATTTAAATAAAAATTATCTAAAGAAGATTTGCATTTTATACTAAAAAAAAACGTATTTTGTTTAAAAATTTTGTAAAAAAAAAAAATCGAAAAAGTCGCATTTTATTAAAAAAAAAAGTCGAAAAAAGTCGGAAATACTCGAAAAAGTCGTATAATCCGAGGCCTGTATTTTATTTATTATATCGAAATATAAATTTTGATCTTGAATCACCCACAACAATGTTAAAATTTATAATCGATTTTTTAAATTCCTTTTTTTGGTTCTTAATAGAAAAAAAATTATATATTTATTTTAAATTTCCCACTTTTCGAGTTATGAATTTTTTAATTTTTATTTCTACCAAAAAAAAAAAATTTCATAAGCGCTTTGCGCTCTTCAAATCCGGGTACAAAGCTCGAGGTTAGAAATAACAAATTTTTTTTTTTTTTTCACCAAAAAAAGAATCGAAAAAAATGAATTTAAAAAAAAAAAATTAACCTTCAAATACTCACCAATGACTTCCACAGCCTTAAATTTAGCACTAAACCAAGCATCGTCGCCAAATTGACCCTTGGGCATTCGACCACGGGCAAAGTCCTTTGGAAAACCGCAAACAGCCGAGACAAGTGACGCCTCGCGCTTTTTTGTAACATTTGGCTCGGCAATTGCTGAGAAATTTGTAAATCCATTCCAAATTGCACGCGAGAGCAACCTCCCAGTCCAATAAATGGACTGCATTTTATGGAGGAGCCTCTCCTGCTTTTTTCAACACTTCCAATTTATTATTGTCGCGCACATGTTGTCTCGCCCTCTTTATCACACATCACACCATTGAAAATAAAAGAAAAAAAAAAAAAAAAAAATTCTCACGAGTATTTCATAAATAGAGAGAAAAAAAAAATTACTCTCACATTACGTAAGATGAAAATTTTACTAAACCAATTGTAATAACTGCCAATAAAGCTTTGCGTAAAATTAACTACTATTGTCTATATAGACAATTTTTTTTCTTTTTTTTTTGACGTATTTCCTACGTTTTCGATAATACCCGAATTATAATCACAACTCGTGATGTTGGTATGGAATTACTCTGAATATAGTCGCGAATGAATAGGCATAGAGAGTTATACATAGAGAGCGAAGTGAGTTTTATTTTTGACAAAGATGAGGAACTCCAGTTAATGTCACATTTTAAATGTTTTACTAATAGATTGATATTCAATCAGCATACACTTTCTATAATTTTGATAAAAATAAAATAAATTATTAAAATCTTATCGCTATAAGGTAAGTGTAATTAAATATTTATACAATTATTTTATTATTTTACACATGAAAAATGTCATATATTTATCGAATTTTGTAAATGAGAAACACGCTAACAAAAAAATAATAGATAAATATAACCTCAAAAACAATTTCCTCGTCAACATTTGACAATATTTTGATGATAAAAATTTGCAATTAAAACTATTTTAATTGTTTACTATTTGCTGCTAATATTTTTCTAAATTATTAGGTTTTTTTTTTAAACTAATTTTTTTTTTATTCTTTGAAATGGGGCAAAATTTCTGAAGTGATCCAATAGCAAAAATGTGAATATTGAATTTTTTGAAAAATCATAACTATTGTATAAAAGGATGAAAAAAATGTTGACCTATATGTTTTCGAAAAAAAAAATTTCTGCTCTTTCGAATGGTGCAAAAAAAGAAATTCAAAATTTACCCCTTTTTTGAAAATCAAAAAAAAATTCAAATAAAAATTTTTGATTTTCAAAAAACGGGAAAATTTTGAATTTTTTTTTTGCCCTTTAAAAAAGACTTTTTATTTCTTTTTTTTTACCACTTAAAATGAAGCATAAAATGTATAGTTTTAATAAACAAATTAAATAAAATATTATTTTTTTCCCGTCTAAATTGTAAAATTAACAAAAAAAAAAAAAAAAAAAAAACTTGATTAGAAAATTTTTACTTGATGGAGAATTTTATTAAACAAAATTTTCGGAACTTCATCCAAATTTTCTTTTAGTCGAAATTATTTGTTCAAATTATTTTTTCTTTTTGACAAAATTTCCATTAAACTGATTTTTTATATTAGAGCAAATTTTTACTTAAGCGAAAATTCACATCATAAAATTTCCATTTTTTCGAATTTTCATTTGTCAGAATTTTTATTTGTTCGATTTAATTTTCGTCAGAAACTTTTGGAAGCGAATTTTTAAATTAACCAATAAGAATAATTAGCCAGAAAATTTTTATTGGTTAATTTGAAAGTTTGCGCCGATATATTATTTATTTAAAAAAATAAAAATTCAATTAAATTGAAATTGTGTTAAATTAATTTTCTGTCACGTAAAAATTTTATAAATATGATAAATCGGTTATATTCTTTTAAATAATAATTCGAATGAATATTTTTATTAAATTAAAAATCCAGAGAATTAAATTTTGCTGAATAAAAAATTCGTTAAAATGATATTTTTTTTGTTTTATTTTTTAAAAAGCACATGAAAATTCGAACAAATAAAAATAAACGGAGCAAATAAATACAAATAAAAATTTAAACAAAAATTCTGTTACATTAAAAATCGGATTATAATACACGGAGAAAAATGGAAAAACGAATAAAGTAACTTTTACTATACTTTAAAAGTAAAACCGAAACTGTTCGCATTTTTGTCAATTTTTACTCCAGAAATAGTAAAATTTACTCCGAAAATATTAAAAGTTACTTCGAAAATAATAAAAATTATTACGGAAATAGGAAAAATTTACTATTTCTGAAGTAAAAAATTGCCAGAAATGTGCAGAAACTGCAGACAGTTCTGGTTTTACTTTTTAAGTATAGTAAAAGTTAATTTATTCCTTTCTCCATTTTTCTCCGTATGGAAATTCGTATTACAAAAAATAATTCGAAATAAATAAAAATTCGGCTAAAAGAAAATTCTATCAAAAAGTCGAATATTCATTTTTCAGATTAAAATTTAAAAGAATTTTTTTTTAAACGAATTTTTACTTAACAGAATTTTTACACAGGGTGATGTTTATGTTCCGGATCCCTAAAAAATTTTTTTTAATTCCACTGATTTTTTTTGTTTAAAAAAACTGAAATAATGAGATAAAAAAAAAAATTTTTATGGTGTCCAGAACATAAAAATCATCCTCTATATCGAAGTTTTATTGCACAGAATTCTTAAGAAGCCGAATTTTTATTTGTCCAAAATTGCAAATGGCCGAAAAAACAAGCAGAAAGATTTAGGCGCGATTTTTGAAATTCAACCAATCACGAATTTCTTGATAATTTCTGATTGGTTCAATTTCAAAAATCGCGCCTAATTTTTTCTGTTAATTGTTTTTTCGGCCATTTGCAATTTCGGACAAATAAAAATTCGGCTTTTTAAGAATTCTGTGCAATAAAACTTCGATATTTTAAGAATTCTTATATAAGTAAAAATTCGTTTAAAAATTAAATTTTAATTAAAGAATAAGCAAAAAATGATATACTGGAAAGAATTGCAATTGAAAAAAATTTTACATGACAAAAACTTGTATTTTTTGGATGTTTTTGAAAAAAAGGGGGTTAAATATTATTTTTTGAAAATTTTGACCACGCAATTTGAAAGAGCGATAAAAAAGCAGTCGGAAATGATTTGTCTGATATTTTAAAAATTTTTTTTTCTGTTAATGGTATGAGGTTGAAATCCAAGTCGAGAATCAGCTCATTTGGGCGTTAAAGTGTTAATGATAAATTGATAAATCATCAAAATTCTGTCAATTTTTAAAAATAATTAATAAGTCCAAAAATTTAACAGACGAAATTCATTTCAAATCAGGCAGGCTGTAATGTCGTTTATCTAAAATTTAGGAGAAAAAAACTTCAAAGTATTATAACTTTTAAAGTAATTTAGATATTTTTTTCTTTTTGCATTTGAAAGAGTTTTTATTTTTCTTTCAAAATCCGTTGGCGAAATTTAAAAAATGTTCAAAAATCACAAAATGGCAACCATTTTAATAAAAAAAAAAACCACTTTTTCTTTGCTTGAAATTTTTTTGTCTATTGTCTTTACCGTGAAGAATATTGTTTATAAGAATTTAACTTGAGCCCGATTTTGGTAGAAGAAAAAACAATTTTTATTGTTATTTTCTAAGAAAAAATTTTTTTTCTTCTACTAGAATCGAGCTCAAGTTAAATTCATATAAAAAATATTCTTCACAGTAAAGAAAATTCACAAAAAAATTTTGAGCAAAAAAAAAGTGGAGTTCTTGAGTAATTAAAATTTTTTTTTTATTAAAATGGCCGCCATTTTGTTATTTTTGAACATTTTTTAATTTCGCCAACGGATTTTGAAAGAAAAATAAAAGCTCTTTCAAATGCAAAAAGAAAAAATATCTAAATTAATTTAAAAGTTATTTAAAAATTTTTTTTTCCCCCTAAATTTTTGAGAAACGACGTTTCAGCCTGTCTGATTCGAAATGAATTTGATCAAGAATAAATTTTTTTTATTCTAGATTTTAAATCTTTTCTTTCTTTTTTTGGTTTGCTTACAGAAATATTTAAACAGAGAGAATTATCGGAATCGAAAATATAAATTGTTCTTCAATTTTTTAACATAAATAATTATTTTATGTGATTGCATATATAAAATGTCGAGCCGTAAGAGAAATAGTTCAGGAAATTTAAAAAATGACGAAAATAAAATAATAATCTGCGTAGATGATGATGATGATGAAGCTTTAAGTAAAAAAATTAAAAGAAGTAAAAAATCACCACTAATTGTTGCTATTATAGAAAACAATATTGAAATTGTTCGACAACTTTTAAATAGTGATAAGAAAATTTCTAAATTAACAAATAATACAGCAATGACACATTTGTATTTTGCTGTTGAGAATAATAATGTTGAAATTGTAAAATATTTGATTGAAAAGGGATATAGAAAAAAATTATCAATTCAAGAAAATCATATTCTTGTTCGTAAATGCATTGTAAATGATTGTTTGGATATTGTAAAATGTCTAATTAACAGTAAAATGGGAATCAATGATGAGGATTCAAAATCGGAAACTTTACTTCATTCTGCAGCGTTTTATGGACGATTGGATATAATAAAATATCTAGTTGAATGTGGTGCTGATGTACATGTGAAAACAGATTATAATGAAACACCATTTCATTATGCAATAAGAGGAAAAAATATTGCAGTTATAAGAGAATTGTTAAATTTAAGTAATGCCAAAGAGACTCCATATAGAATGATGTTCAACGATATGGCTGTTCATGTTGCAGCTGAAGTTGGCAATGAAGAAATATTAAATATTCTTCTCGATGAGGGATATTCTATGGAGAGTAGTTTTAAAGGAAGAAAACCAATTCACGCTGCAGCAGCATTTAATAATTGGAAATTAGTTAATTTATTTATTAAAGCAGGCGTTAGCATTGATTCAGTAACAAAAAATTATGAATCACCATTGCATTTTGCCCTTGGATCGGGTCAATTGTCAGCAGTTAAATTTCTATTAGATGCTGGAGCATCACCTTTTAAGGATGAATATTATTGTAGAATAAGACCATTTAATATGTTATTAGACAAAGAAAAATGGAATTCAAATGTTCCATTAAAATTAATGATAGAACGTCAAGTTAAAAGTCTTAGATGTTTGCTTAATTATTTTTCAGAAAATCAAAGATTTGTATTACAACTTATTGATAGTGCATTTGAATATAAAGCACCAATAGAATTATTAAATGTTCTATTTGAATATTATGTTAGTGATATTTCTTATATGAAATTGAATTATTTTCTTGATGATCATAAAAATTTTGCAATCCTCATAGATCATATGCATCGTAATGATCTTGCTTCACAATTAAATGGAATAGTGGATAATTCATTTTATAATAAAATTAAAGAATGTAAAAATTTTTGTCAAATATTAGTTGCGCGCTTAGTTTTATTATTGTCTGTTTCTGAAAATTTAAAAATTGAAAATCATTTAAAAACAATTATCAAATTTTCCATTAATGATTACTATAAATTGTGCAATGAACAATTAATAATTATGAAAAATACAAAAATTTACAATGATTCCGATGTAACTTATTATGATATATTAAGTAAACCTTTAGAAAATATTGCAAATTATATAAGATGTGAAAAAATGGTTACATCATTAGAATCTTCTTATGATAAATTTTCAGCATATTCTGAACTTTTAAAGGCACGTGTTGAAAAAGGTAAACAGAGATATCAATTAATTGACGATAGCATTAATTGTTTTTTTAATATTATTGAAAGAAAATATAAAATTCAATTACCATGTTTAGTGATAATGACAATTTTTGAATCATTATCAACAATTGATTTAAGAAAAATGATTGAATTCTGTTCTTAATCTTCGTTATTGGTAAAAAAAAAAAACTGTAAAACGTCTTTAAATTATAAAAAAAATTAAAGAATTTTGTTTTGTTCTTGTTCATGAAATATGATTTCATTCATTATTTTAGTTTGCGTACTGTTTTAAACATCATAATAGAAAAAAAAATTTAGATGTGAAATTTGTTTTCTAAATCATTTTTTTGTATTAATATATAAAATATCTATTAAAAATTGTATTTCCAAGGATTTATAGTTTTGTGAAATAAAAATTATTTTCTTTTCTGGTACAAAATGTAAAATTTATTCATTTACAAAAATTGTATTTTAATAAATTTTATATATAATTATTTTTTAGACGAATTTTCATTTTTCTATTTAAAAGAATTTTTATCACACAGAATTCTTAAAACGGCAAAATTTTATTTGTCCGAAATCGAAAATGCCCGAACAAATAATCTGACAGGAAGACTTGGGCGCGATTTTTAAAATTGACCAAAATTATCAAGAAATTCGTGAATTTTAAAAATCGCGCTCAATTCTTTCTGTCGGATTATTTGTTCGGGCATTTGCGATTTCGGACAAATAAAATTTTGGCGTTTTAAGAATTCTGTATAATAAAAATTCTGTTCAGTAAATTTAAAAAGAAATTCTGTCAAATGCTAATACGAAAAATGAAAATTAGTCTAAAAAATAATTATATTTTATACAATTCTTTCATATTAAAATTAAAACGCATGATTATGTTCTAAAAATCATTAGTTAGAATTTTCATTTTATGGAATTTCATTTGTCATATAATTATTTTTGAGCCGAATTTTTTTATTTGTTCGAATTCGTATTTTGCAGAATTTTCATCAAAACGATTTTCTATATTACAGAATTTTTATTTGTTCGAATTTTTATTTGTCAGAATTTCTAATTGATAAAATTTTCATTTGTCCGAAATTGCAAATGTCCGAACAAACAATCGACAGAAATATTTCGGCGCGTTTTTTAAAATCAACCAATCAAAAATTATACATAAAATTGTGATTGGTTGATTTTAAATATCGCGCCGAAATCAATCTGTCGATTGTTTGTTCGGACATTTGCAATTTCGGACAAATGAAAATTCTATCAGGTTGGATTTACATTTTTATGTAAATGCAGAATGCAAAACCGAAAATAATGAGAGTGAAAAGGACAGGGATATATCACTATCCTTTTCACTCTCATTATTTTCGGTTTTGCATTCTGCATTTACATAAAAATGTAAATCCACCCTCAATTAGAAATTCATGTTAAATAATTTTTCGGTTATATAAAAATTCTGTAATATAGAAAATCGTTCTAATGATAATTCTACAGAATACTAATTCGAACAAATAAAAATTCGTCTCAAAAATAATTATAACAAATGAAATTCCATAAAATGAAAATTCTAACCAATGATTTTTAGAATATCATCATATCTATTCAAACATTTTTAAATTAAATTTGGATACCTAATATCTTTGAATTAAATATTAATGAATACATTGTCATAGTTTTTTTTATTCTAAAATATTTCTATTTAGATGAAATAATAGTAACAAAAAAAAATTACGGTGTTAATTTCATTTTTCCCTAATGATAATATTTGATTATTATTTAGACAAGTGGCGCTGCGGCAAAATAATGAAACATTATCGGAGTCACTAAAAACCACCTCTCTCTTAACATAACAGTTTCTTTAAAGTTTGCCTACCATTGTATCACCACTTGTGTTTTATACGAACTATGGCTATAGAATGGATGTCATTCACAGAAAGCTTATTATTTTCTTTCTTCATTAATTATTGTTCATAATCAAATCCTCGTTAACATTTGCTACAAAATACAAAGTATTTCACTGTTTTCAGGTAATTAAATTTCTTCTAATTTATAATATTAATAATTCTCTATTAATTTATTGCATTATATGTAATCATAAGACATGTGAAATTTGTTCTTTTGTATACATTAAATTCATAACAAAACATTAACCTCTTAAATGTCATTTTTTTTTCAATTCCAAATTTTCTCTATATGTTATATATATATATTTCATAAATTTTATTTTTTTTTAAAAAGTAAAAATAACATTAATTTGTAAAAGAAAATTTTTTTTCCAGATAATTATAACTGAATACAATTAGATGTGAATTAATTTTTTTTTTCCAATTAATTATTTAACATTTATTTCGTGAGGTTTTTAGTATTTTTACTGTTTGAATAATTTAAGTAAATTAAAAATTTGACAAATATTTGTAGAAAGTTCTTTTTATATTATTATTAACCTAAATATTTATATATATATATATATATATATTTATAGAAATTTGCAAACATAACCTTAAAAAAAATATCTAAAAGGGGCATTCTGCATGAAGCGGTCAACCTCGATCTTAGTTTATTTTTTAATATTATATTTAAATATTTGAAAATAGTTTTTAATATTTTAAAAATTGTCGAAGTATAAAAAAACATTGTTTAAATTTTTATTTTTTATTTTTGAAATTATAATTAATCTACACTGAAAAAAAATTTATTTATAATTAATTTATTTATAACTAGCAAAATTAAACGCCAAATTGAGTATTTAATTATTTGTTATATAGAAATTAAAGATTAATATTATCAATAATAATTTAATTTATTGGAATATTATTACATATTAAATGATAATAATGAAAATCATATGTTTACAGGCCTCGGATTATACGACTTTTTCCGACTTTTTTCAAAAATACGACTTTTATCGACTTATCTTAATAAAATGCGACATTTTTTTTATATTTGAAAAGAAAATGTAAAAAAAATACCTCTTTTTTAGTATAAAATGTAGATCTTCTTCAGATCTTCTTCAATTCAATTATTTAACAAATTTTCAACTAAAATGATTCTTCACTAAATTAATTATTTTTAATAATTTTAATTAAATACATCACAAATTCAATTATATCAAAATTATTTTTCAATTAAAATTTTTATGAAATTTAACAATTGTTTATAATTTAAAAAAAATATCACAATAAAATTGAATTATTTTCTAAAAATTTCAATTCAAAATAAACTAAAATTCAATTATTACCCGAAATTTTAATTCAAAATCAATTAAAATCCAATAATTATCCAAAAATTTTCAATTTAAAATTTAATTATTTATCAAGTTTTCAATTTAAAATGAAATAAAATTCAATTATTTTCTAAAACTTCTATTCAAAATGAATTATCCAAATTTTCAATCAAAAATGAACTTAAATTAAATTATTAGTGCGATTCCAAGTGAGATTTTGACTTTTTCGGAGTAGGTTAACCGATTGCAATGAAACTTTGGAATTTTGTTATATATAGTAAGACTAATCTTTAACGTAAATTTCAGCCTAAAATATTTGTTAGTTTACGAGATTTGCAATAATAACAAAAAATTTTAAACTGCTATATCTTCCGTTCTAATAAACGGATTGAGGTCTACTTTTTTTTAAAATGTCAAGGAAAATGAGAGGAATAAATCTCTTTCAGAACATTTTTTTATAATTTTACAACTAAAAAAATTATTAAATAATAATTGAATAACTTTCGCGCGACTAACTAAAATTCAATCACTTAAACGCTAAAATGATCTTACCTGTGTTTTCTTTAATGTTCCAAAGGATTTTTATTGTAAATGTAAGTTTAACTTAAGAAATTTTATTAATTTATTAGTATAAACAATTGAGATTTCTGCTAGTTGACGTGCAGACGACATTGCGCACGCAGCATTCTCACATAGCCAACTGACGTGATTCGTGGACTAAATTGGCTATGTGAGAATGCTGCGTGCGCAATGTCGTCTGCACGTCAACTAGCAGAAATCTCAATTGTTTATACTAATAAATTAATAAAATTTCTTAAGTTAAACTTACATTTACAATAAAAATCCTTTGGAACATTAAAGAAAACACAGGTAAGATCATTTTAGCGTTTAAGTGATTGAATAGGGAGTTTGCATAAAAAAAATGTTACGTTTTTTTTTTATAAAATCGTAAATATAGGTATTTTAAAATATATTAGTGTTGAAAGTTTTAATTTTTTTTAAATTTTACATATTAAAATTTTTATTTAAAAGTTGAAACTATTTATACTGAAAGAAAACGATTTTTATTGGTGCTGGGACGTGACGTCATAAGTGTCTACTGTCGCATCGTCTGCTACATGATCCATGTGTGATCTGTGTTTACTAATATATGCGTTCGCTGTTTTCAAATTATTTTATTTTTTTTAAGTAAAAATAAGTGATTTATTGTGTTTATTTATTATTGTAATTATTATTGTATTATTATTGTAATTATCCATATCATCCTTCAACTACAATGAATAAGTGATAAAAATATTTTGAGGTTTAAAATTTTTTATTTTTAGGTTATGTTGACTACTTTTATTTACATTATATAGTGACATTTGAAAGTTTTTTTAACTTTGCATGTCTAAAAATATAATTTATAACTAGTTTAATTTTAAATTATTTCAATGTAAATATTCACATTGAAGTGATCTTGACAAAAAAAAAATTTTGAATTCATCGATAACATATTATTATCATTTCGTTTTGCAACTTGAGACCATTGTCTCCTAATATCTTCTTTCTGTGGCACAGTAAAAAACAATTTTCCGGGTGTTTTAATTGTTGTACTAAGACAATTTGGCACAAAACACGTTTTATATCTCTTGATTTTCTCCATTTCATAAAAATTTCCAGAAAAAACTTTCGTTCCATTAGGTTATTCACAAACAGTTCATGACAGCAGCAATATTTGGGCACTACATACGTCACATTCTGTTCGGTAAGACTCGGCTCTTTCCGGACCGTTTTCGATGTTTTAAAATAATATAAACTATTATTATTTAATTATATGCTTATTTTTGATTAAAAAATTATTTAAAAAAAAATTTGTTATATAAATTAGACCTAATCTATCGATTAAAATTAAAAAAAATTTTAATGCAAACTCCCTATTTTAGTTAGTCGCGCGAAAGTTATTCAATTATTATTTAATAATTTTTTTAGTTGTAAAATTATAAAAAAATGTTCTGAAAGAGATTTATTCCTCTCATTTTCCTTGACATTTTAAAAAAAAGTAGACCTCAATCCGTTTATTAGAACGGAAGATATAGCAGTTTAAAATTTTTTGTTATTATTGCAAATCTCGTAAACTAACAAATATTTTAGGCTGAAATTTACGTTAAAGATTAGTCTTACTATATATAACAAAATTCCAAAGTTTCATTGCAATCGGTTAACCTACT